ATTTTTGTGTTTAAATTTTATGAAACATGGAAAAATAAAATAATTAGGTAATTTGCTATTATTTTACACACTAAATGATTTAAGATATTTATAATGTTACCACAATTACATTTATATAATATACAAACCAATTCCACAAAATTTAAACACTGTTAAATTCCAAATATAAAAAAATTAATATTTATTATATAAAAAAATAAATTTTATATTAAAGGGCATAAATTATATAGTTATAAAAATAATTGCATAATATGTATGTGTATGTATGTACATGTATTCTAAAATGTTTAAATTTCAATCTTGTATTTTTTAAATTCCATTATAGTTTATATATTATATATATATATATTATTTAATAATGCCAAAAAAATATAAGAAATTTAAACAATTATATCTTGTATTATTTACCACCATATACTAATTTTTTTTATATTTCAGAGTGTATGCTGCTGGCTAATGCTGGTGTCCAATACCAAAATGAGTTGACGCCAAAAGCAAAGAGACTTTACTTAAGTGCCAAAAGGATCCGTCGACAAAATGCCATTTTAAAAAAACGAACTCGTTTGTTAAAAACTCGTTTAAAGGATTTATCGCCAGAATCATTGTTGGATAATATTACTGCAAATCTTCCCTCACACATCACAGGCTTTATCAAAAGCCAGATAAATTTATGGGACAAAAAAGGACAGGGAAAACGTTATAATTTGCATATATATATAAGGAAAAATCTTGAAAATCGCCCTCAAATAGAGATGGCCTGTATTTTAATTTTTGATGAAATGGCAATTGAGGCGCATGTAAATTTTAATGGCAAAGAATTTGTTGGGTTTGAGGATTTGGGAGATGATTCATCACAAGAAATAGCTGACCATGCCCAAGTCTTTATGCTTAGAAGTGTGGATGGCAGGTGGAAACAGCCAGTCTATTATGGATTCAGCAAAAGCGCCACTAAAAGTATTTCCTTGTGCAGAATTATAAAAGCCTTAATACAAAAATGCCATAGCATTGGTATTAGAGTGGTTGCGACAGTTTCTGATCAAGGAACAAACAACTGTGCAGCAATTAACCATTTAATGACTACCACCGTTAATGCAAATGATAATGCACATAATATTAAATTTTTTTATGTAGAGGATAAAAAAATTGTACATATTTATGACCCACCTCACCTATTAAAGGGCATAAGAAACAATTTAATTACAAAGAATTTAATATGGGAGAAGAAAGATGAAAAATTGGTTGCTTCCTGGGATGATGTATATACGCTTTACAAAATGGACAACATGCCAGGAGAGATGAGAGCTATACACAAGATCACAGAATACCATGTGAATCCTGAAAAAATAAAAAAAATGAAGGTTTCATATGCAGCCCAAGTTTTCAGCCATTCTGTAAGCTCATTAATGAATCTTTTAATAAGATTAGGTAATACCAAAAAATATTATTAAATGTTAAATATTAATTAAATAAAAATTTCAGATGCTACAACTCCTGAAGGGATTAAACTTCCAAAGTCTGCCACAGGAACAGCAGCAGTTCTAAAGTTTTTCGACGATCTTTTCGACAGTGTCAATGGGACAAGCTACCTAAGCACCAAAAAACCTTTAAAATGCTGCTTCACAAAATCATCAGGGCATTCAAAGTTTTGGTCAGAAGCGAGAAGCCAGCTCAGTTCAATGTACTATGTTAAAAATGGTGCTAAAGCATATGTACCCTCACTAAAAAATTGGGTGTATACTCTAAATGGCATTGAGGAGACTTTTAAAATCTTGTCAAGAGAATTTGATTTGAAAGAATTAAAAACCCGAAGTCTTAACCAAGATCCCATAGAAAATTTTTTTGGGCAGATGAGACAGCAAGGCTCTCGAAACATTAATCCAACAGCAAGCCTCTTCCAAAGCCATTTTAAAACACTATTAATTAATAATTTAACAAAGAGACATTCTGCATCTGGAAATTGTGAACAGGATTCGTCCCAAATAATTTCAAGTGTGGAAAATTTGTTAGTGCAGAATGTTTCTGAAGAAATGGCTTTGGAAGATTTGGTTCTTTTGGAACAAAATTGCAGCCTCCTGGATAAAATAAAGATAATGCCAGTTGCCTATGTGAGTGGATATCTTAGCAAATACTTAAAAACCTTGCCGAAATGTAACATTTGCAAAGCTAATATTATATGTGGTGAACCATTAAAGGATTGGCATGATCTTATTTTATCTAAGGAGTTCAATAATAAATGTAGAAAGCTAACGTATTGTACTCCAGCTTTTATTGGAGCATTATGTGACACATCACAAATTTTAAAAAAAAATATGCCTCTTATATGCTCAAAAAAAAATTTTTTTAATGTATTAAATGCTGCATTAAATGATATGATAAAAATTACCCTTAAAGAAGAATGTGAGCATTCAGCAGTGGTGCAATTAAATTTTTTAAAAAGTTATTCTCTTTTATATTGTCGCAACTGGGCAGCTTCCATAAATAGAATTCTAAATGGAAGGGATCAAAGAATTTTTAATTTTGAAGATAAAGTTATGAAGGCTGCCCAGTTATATTATAAAAAAAGACGAAAAACCTGCAAGGAAAAATAATTTATTTAAATATTTTATAATTTTGTTTTATTTAGGTTATAATGTAATATATTTTAAATGTAATTTATATTTTTGTATTCTAGGAAATTAGGTGTAAATAAAATTTTTAATCTTTTTTATACTTATTAATCTTATAAATTATTTTAATTGTAGGAAATATGGTGTTTTTATTATTTGTGATTTATTTGATTTTTGTTTGCTTGTTTATTATTATTATTGATTTGTAAATTAATATTTTATTCCATTAAATTAGTACAAATGTAAATTATTGTTATTAATTACTACTGTGCTTAATGAAAATGCTGTATTCAACAAATTTTTAATGTTATGTTTATGACGATTTTTTTAGTATAAATAACATTCTACCTTTTCAATTAAAATAAACGTCGCATCTATAAAAGATGCGCATTTTTCTTAGTGATTAAAGGTAAACTATTATTTTTACTGACTAAACCGCCATAAATTCACGTTAAATTTTTTTTTGAATTCGGCATTTTCATTAAGCACGTAAATAGCCTCCTAAAACTGAAATAAATAAATAAAATTCAAACTAGGCGCGTTTTATTCATTTAGTTCGCGCAAAAATACTAGATGGCGTGATACCGATTCTTATTATGGTAGTTGCCTATCTCGTTTATCTCTGAATAAAACAGACTGCCGCGTTTTTTCACGCACGCGCTATCCAAAAAATCCGATTTATGGGCTAGGTATATTAACACTGCAACACTAATCACACTATACAACAATAGTCACACTAAACAACACTGGTCACACTAAACAACACTGGTCACACTATGTAACACTTTTAACGAAAACATTATTCAAAAGTAGTGTTGCATAATGTTGTGCAGTGTTAACAGTGTTTTTCCGTAAGGGCCATAAGTTGTATAACATTATTTCATAAAAAGTAAAATTGGAAAATTTTGTGGGATAAGTCAGATTAGATTGAAGTTGAAGATAGTTAGGATTATTATACATAAAAATGTTAATTCAGAAATAAAAAATCGATATACAAATTAATAAATATTTATTTTTTTCAAGCGGCCATGATATGCAACCTTATATGCATGTATAGAGATAGTTGAAGTGCGTCTTTTTCATTAGCGGCAGACAAAAAAAGCAAAAAAGCTTAGGGATAGAAGTAAATCCATAGGCGACTCAATAGACGTCAAATAATAAAATTAATTTAGCATTTCATACAAAGCAATCACGATTTATTAATTATATTAATTATAATCGCACGGAATATTTAGTGATTATTTATTAAATTTTAATTGAACGAAATAAAGAACAACTAGTTTATTAGTATAATATAATGATGATAGACTAGTCGCCAATGTCGGAACTCCAAACAAATGTCAGTAGGTACGTCAAAATTAATTCAAGCGCAGCATTTTGACAGAGCAGGGTTAATTTTTAGTTTAGGCTTTGTTATCTATGGTTTAGGATATGTATCGGCATTGTAAGTAAGGGTTATAAGTTTTTTTAGTTTTTATCAATAATTTGTAATGCTTTTAGCCAAAATTTTATACCACATGAGTTATAAGTAAATAAAATAATTCTATTGCTTATCCTATTTATATTACGCCCTTGAAAAAAAAATTGTATATGTTATTTGGAGTAGAAGCTCTTTTTGTGCTTCGTACAGTTGCCTGCCTCAGCTACGCTTCGGCCGTCAATCTCTGTACTCACCACAAAAAGAGCCACTTCTACTCCTTATGACATAATCTACTAATTTTTAACATAAAATAAAATACCCATAGTAAAAGTATTTTTGTTATCAAATATTGTTTTAATTTGACAAATAATTATTTGTCAAATTAAAACTATTTTGGATTGTGTTTTTTACTTAATATTTAATACTAATTACTAATTAGGTACTTAAGTATATATAGTTTATGGTATATTTTACTATTATAGAGGTAACTGAACTAAATATGCTTAACAGGAATATTCCTAAATGAACTTTCTATAGAAATTACTTTCTTAACATTTTAAGCATATGTTTAGAGTAGACTAATTTTTACCACTAAAACTTTGCACCTTCTAAGAACCTGCCTATAGGCCAGTAAGAATATTCTTAGGATCATGCTATGTCTTTTAAGCATGTTCTTTAGAAGAAATATAGCATGATCCTAAGAATATTCTCACTGGAAGGTTTAAAAAACATTAATGTTTCTAAGAATTCTTAGAATAAACTGTGCTATCAGGGGTAGCGCATAACCATTTTGTCATCCAGCCTATTGACTAGTATTGAGACCATAGAGAAAGTATGATTGAAACATAAAATTATGTACCAAGTGATAATAGAACTATAGTCAACTTAAAACAGTTTAATTTATTAAATAACAATAAAAATACATATACCTATATCATAGGTACCTAATTAAATAAAAAGATTGTTAGGCACTTTTTTTTGCACTAAACATAATCTACTGTTACTCTAAATTCAAGAGGTTCTTCACAATTCATAATTTCAATTTTTTCATTAAGCGCTATTAGCGTATTATTTACAAATATTTTAAACTCATTCTTATCACTTTTGATTACATTATTCAATTTAATTTTGTTATTATTAATGCTGCAGAAAACAGCAGTAACATGATCAAGATACATGTAATAATCATTTTGTTTTATACTGCCAAACCAAATTTGACTTTCACAGTAAGGTTTTAAAATTGTATTTTTATGGGTGTTGAAGTGAGATTTGAGCTCAGAAAAGTTTTTGAAATTTTCACCAGCACAATTTGGCACTGGACAAATTGGTATGGGCTCACGTTCAGTACAGTCCAGTTCATGCATGAACATGTTCATACAGGTTAAAGCAATCAAAATGCTGTTCGCATTTCCATTTGCAGTGTGCTTGTAAATTTAGGTAAAATGCATTGTACATAAAATATCCTTTGGAACAACTTTGCCTTATATTGTTTTTACATAATTTACAACACACAATAGTTTCTGAACAATTTTTAAAGCTATAAAGAGGTTTGGAATTCGAAAAATTGCTTCCACAAAAACTACAAAACAACATCTCATTATTCCCAATACAATACATTTTACAGGGGGATATATTTAAATCAGGATATAATTGTTTAAATTTTGAGGATAAGTAAAGTTTTCTTCCAAAATAATTACTATTTATTCGCATATCTTTTACTTGTTTTTGTTCTTCTTTATTGCTATCCTTTACCTTTAATTGAACTACCTGCACAACATCAAAATTCAAATTTAGTTCACAAAAAATGTCGTCCGATTTTTTAAACTCTCCCAAGGAAAATTCAAATCTCTTTTTCAAAGACGTGTCACAAGGTTGAACTTTAGAGTTCATGCAAAACGAACCTTGCAGGACTCGAAATTGCTGACTTACCCCTTTGGTTAACTCACGGGAACCAACCAACCTATTGTCAAGAAAAATTTTACCATTCACTGTATCTAAAGATTCAACATGAAAAGCATGTTATTAGTGCAATATAAATAAAATTTGTCGGAATCAATATTGGCATCGATTTGGATGACAGGCTTTTTCAACAAAGAATTTCTATGGCATTTTTTAAAGTGTCCCAGCATCATGTACAGTTGTATTCATTAAAAAAGCGTACAAGAATTCCCAAGCAGCATTTTTGGTTCCAAAAACCATTGCCAAAGTGGTGATAACTTTAAATTAGTTAAGTATACTAAACAGCTACTTTAATTTTTACTTAAAAGTAATTCTAACTTTTAAATAGCAATATTTTGTAACAGAAACTTAATTTTTCCTTAAATTGTTACTATAAAGTAATAAACATTTAAGTAAAACTTGGTTGCCCCCAAGAAGACTTTGCAACTTTAAAAAAGATGTTATAAGTAAAAAAAACTTTCAAGTAAATTTAATTTGTAGCAGTTACTTTCGGTTGCTACCTAAAGATTACATTATAATTATTTTTACTTTGTAGTCCCTTTGCAAGTTAAAATCTCGAAACTGGAACATGAGTTAAAAACTACAAAGTTAATAACTTAAAAGTTATTATTTTAGTATTTGGAACGTTTATGGTACTAACCAAAACAACCGTAAAGTGGAAAAAAACTTTAAAGTAGCGAAAACTACTTCAAAGGAAAATGCTTCTTATCGGCCATTTTTTACTGTACAGTACCACGTGGTAATGTAAATAATAAATTATTTTAATTGTTTGTAAATGGTTGTTTACTTTTTAATAAATAGAAATATTGTTGGTAATAGACGGTATTAATAATTAAATAAAAAAAATAATAATAAATATTAAGATTTTTTTATTTATAAACATTACTAAATAAATAATTGGTTTATACTTAAATATTGATGAAGCGCATTTATTTTACAAAAACTAAATTCATAAGTTCAACAGTAAAATTTAAAGGGTTTATAAATCTACCTGTCTAATTAAATATTATATTGTTATTCTGGAAGTTATAAACTACCAGTACATATTTAATAAACGACGACATTGAAAAGCCAAGTCCGTAGTGGTTCCATTTAAAAAAGGAGGGATAGTATAATCTAATATAAGTTTGACAAAGACAGTTAATATAGAAGTAAAAACAAATAATAAAAGTAATTATAACGCTCTAGCAACGATATTGGAACGTTCTAGTAACGTAGCAGCTACGTCCCAAATAGTAGCAGGGTTGGTAGCTAGTGACATATTTGCTACCTTTTTGGAACTCAATAATTGTTCCCCACTTTAGTCGTAACGTAGTAATGAAAGAGTAATATAAAGAGACCGGCGACTGTCGCAAAACACTTTGAAGTTTCTTCAATAGTCCCATATACGTAACAAATACTTAAATTGTTGCTTGGGTTAGAATGAGAGAAAACTGTCAACATTATTGCGTAAAACCGGCTTTCCACTGACTTAAGTCACTATAACTGACAGTAGAAAATAAAAATGCCTCGTCAGTTAAAAAGGCTCAAATAGTATCAAGAATCGAAGAAGAATGGTCAATTCGTACTGTGGTATAATAGAAATAAAAAATCTATATTAAAAATTAAGCAACGCTGGGAACAGGAAGATTTACTAAACCAAAAATTTGGTTCAGGTTGTCCCAAAATGTCCACCCCCGAACAGGATGCTGCTTTTTTGAGATATCTGAGGATTTATGGGAAACTATACAACTATATAGTATATACACAGAGAAAAGTAATCTCTTGATTTAAGAAAATGCATTTATTTGAAACAGTTTTTCTTGTATGAAGTAAAATTGTCTTATTCGTAGTAACTTCTTGTTTACAATAAGAAAATACTATTATTTGGTTGTAAATCATGAGTTTCTTGAAAACAACTTATTGTTGTGATTAATTGTAAAGAAATATTTATTTAGAGCAATTAATTAAATTGTTTGGATATAGGTTGTAGGGATTTAGTTTTATCAAATGTTAATACAAGCATATAATATCTTATTTTAACAAAATAATAGAATTGATACAAGTAAATGTTTTGTTTCTTTAAGTAAGATACAAAGTCAACAAAATATTTACTTGTATTAAACAAACCATCAGTTTAAAAAGTCAAATAAACCCAAGTTTTCCACTAAATAAATATCTTCTTGTATCATATCGAAATAAATAATTAATTTGAGTCAAGACAGATATAGTAAAATCAAGAGATTACTTTTCTCTGTGTATACTATACCTACTATACTGCTGGGAAGATATTAATCCAAATATTGTATTAAATTTAATTCAGTTAATCCCAAATAGATTGGCTCAAGTAATAGAAAAACAGGGATGCATGACTAAATATTAAATTTTTTTTAATGTTTGTTTTTTCATTATTAAAAGGTAATAATTTTTGTAATATTATTTAATTAACCTACGTCAATGCTCTTTATAACCTATAATAATTATTTTAATGACTTATGTCAGTGATAAGCCGGTTTTAAGCAATATTATTTTGACAGTTTTCTCTCATTCTAATTCTTGTAGGCTTTTTTATTGAATACAACTGTACGGTGGCATTTTGGATTCGGTGCACAAGGGACAATCGTCTAAATTTTTACTGGTGCAGATCTTTTCGTGTTCTTTTACTTGTTCGGGAAGCAAAAGTGAGGTGCATCCTTCGTAACGATTAACACATTTGAAGAGTGAGGTTGGAAAAACCTTATTCACAGGGTTGGGTATCTACCTACATTTTTGTTTTCGACATGTAGAAAACCTTTTTCGACGTTTTCGACGGTAGAAAACGTAAAAAAGTAGAATACTGTCAAATATCAAAAAATGTGAGGTTATGCAAGTTTGTTGTTTATTATGATTTGTGAAAAATCAGACACCTACCATAAATTTGAAGTTATTTGGAGTTTTTTAACATTATTATGGTGGGAAAAAAGGGCCACGTTTGGTTGGGAGACCCCAACATAATTTTTGGCATGAAGGCAAATTTTTATCAATTATAGAGAAGTGGAAGGAGAAGGTCGAATAAGGTAATTTACGTAGGTAGAAAACCCTATAGGTTTTCGACAAAAGTCGAAAACAAGTTTTCTACCCTTTTCTACCAAGGTAAATTACCTAAGGTTTTCTACTGACCCAACCCTGCTTATTCACCTGCGACGGCACTCCTCCATCGTCCTCTTCAATACAACGGCCACATCTCACGGTCCTATTCGGATAGGCAAGAACTGGCAATACCGATAAATATTTCCAACACTCTGAACAGACCATCTCGCCCAAAACCTGGTCCGGAAGAATTATACTCATTTTCTCGATCTAGTTTTTTGTTTACAATATAAACCAACAAAAAACTTTGAACAAATATGATACAAAAACAGCTATCACGTAAACATAACCTATATAAAGTCAGAGATAAAGAAGGTTGTCTTCTGTCACAGAAGTTCTGTGCCTAATTTCGGGGGTAATGCTTACTTAAAAGCAAGGATACAACTGACAGGATAGTCAAAAAGTTTTAAAAAGCTTGCTGTATAAATTCAAGGTTCAGTGCTTTCTCGTGACATAATATTTTCTTTCCAATAGCCGTGTTCCTTTTACCACAAACATCAAATTAAACGAATTGTGGTTGGTATCATGCGCACTGTATTTAAATCACTGTTATTCTGCAAGATGTCCTGTGACGAAGAAATCACTATATTACTTACTCTCTAAAAATGAATTAGTCAAAAAGTCATAGCGAAAAAGCAGCCACTAATAATTCTCGTCAACAGCAATTTGTATCCAGGACATTTAGCAGTCAATTCCCATGAAATATTATTCGCTGAATCCGAAAATGTCGCCAAAAGATATAAAAGTAGAACAGTTTTTTAAATATAATCAATTTTACATATAATATGGAATTGACTATATCTCAAAAACTGCTTAACTTTTATAGTTTTTGACGGTCTTTTCGGATTCAGGGAACAATTTTACATAAGAATTGGCTGGTAAATGTCCGGGATAAAGATAGAGTATGATATTGGACATATCTCCAATAATAGAAATTTACATTTTTTACCAACCAGTAATTGGACACTGGCCATTTTACTGTTTGTTTTCAGAATTAAAATTAAAACGCATTAAAGTGATCTGTGCACTTTTTAGAAATATTTTTTATTGTAATTTAAACACAGCCCTGCTCTTGACAAAAAAACAAAAATCTTACCACCAAAGTAACGTGCAAACTTTTTTGTCCTATATTGGACCCAAAATAAAGTAGTTCTATATTACCGACTGAGATATTTATAATTGTATACAGCGACATCTAATGATTTGACTTTAAGGTAACTATTTATAGAACTCTGGTTTTTACAGTATTAATAACTATAATGCGCATTTAAAAATGTCGAAAATTAACAACAATTCATAAAAAATGCTATATTGAAAAATAATAACTTTCATTTTAATATTTTTTTTAGCAAAATGACCCATGCATAGACTACTTCTACTCTTTGAAAAACGTTTCGTTTTGCGCGTTTCATCCTCGAGATCACCGCTACTTGGGCTTCATCACAAAACATCCTACATTGCAAAGATTTGCTTGTCACGTGTTCAGAGGAACCGACTCTACCAGACCCGTTGCTGAAGCCGTAGGGTGAGTAGAAATTAAAAAAAATGCAAAAAACGTAAAAAAAAATGTTACAAAAATGGATTTATTCCTGGTGTTGTTGAAATGATTCTGAAATAAAAGTCGAGAGGGGTCAAATCCCGACTTCTCGGCGGCCAATTGATCTCCAAATCGTATTCCTCAATGAATACGTAGCTGACATTGTTTTTCATACTAATTGCCAGCATCTACAATTTTAATAAATTATTTTTTTTATTTTTTTTTTCAGACGTGCCTTCCAAAGGTTCTATCAAAAGTTTATTGAGACTGCTTATCCTGTTGAAGACATATACATTGAATAAAAAACCGTGTAGTGCAATAATGTATATAATAATTACTATATACGCTGTCTCATCAATAATGATAAATAATTTTGTTTGTATTTTTTGTATTTAACAACATCCCATTACGTTTTTGTTATTATTAACTTATTAAGACATTATTTTCTTCCATATCGTATTTTTCGACTGTACATAACATGAACTATTTTAAAGAATAAAATAATTCATTCTATATTAAAAGTATGTATTATTTACTACTAGCTAAATCCTGCGGTTCTAGGGTTCTAAGGAAGAATAACGGACACATTAAAAAGAAAAGTCAAAACAAAAGGTAAACAAATTAAAAAGTAAAAATAGAATAAAAAACAAATAATCAGAAATTAAAAAATCCAAAAAAGTAAAAAAACGAAATTATGTTTTCTGACGACTAAAAAGATAAAAAAGAAATCAACCAAAAATTAAATAATGAAAAGTAAAATAAAATTAAAAAACGCCAAAAGTCAAAATAAAGGTAACAAAAAATTAAAACAAAAATTAAAAAAGTAAAAATAAAAGTAAAAAATTAAAATTTTCGCTGAGCGTGTCATAAAAAAAAGTGAAAAACGGCAAAAGTATAAAATATCAAAACAAAAATGAAAAGTCAAAAAAGAATTACAAAATAATCAAAAAAGTCAAACTAATAGTAAAAAAAATAAGACAAAAAGTTAAACAAAAAAACCTAAAGATTTTAAAAAGGCAATTAAAGTTAAAACCAAAGTCAACAAAATAAAAAGAAGTAAAAAAAAGAAATTTAAAAAAACAAAAAAAAATTAAAACACAAGTAAATAAATCATGGAAAAAAGTCAAAAATGGTAAAAAAAATAAAAAGCTAAAAAAAAATAATGAAGAATTCTTAAAAGTCCAAAAAAAATAAAAGGTCAAAATGAAATTCAAATGACTAATTAAAAATAAAAAACAATAAAATTTAAAAAAGTTTAAAAAATGTAAAAAAGTCCAAAGTAAAAAAAATCAAATAAAAAATTAAAAAAAAAATTACTTAAAAATTTAAAGTAAGGGTAAATTAGGAAACATCCAGTGTATTAAAGGAAGGGATAAAATAAAAAACTATTAAAAACTTTATTACAAAAAGTAAAAATATTAAAAAAGGCCACAAAGTCAAAATAAAAGTAACAAAAAATTAAAACAAAAATAAAAAAAGTCATAATAAAAGTAAAAAAGTAAAATTTTCCCTTCGCGTCATAAAAAAAAAGAAAAAAGTGAAAAAAGGCAAAAAAGTCCAAATAAAAGTATAAAACATCAAAACAAAAATGAAAAGTCAAAAATGATAAAAAAGTCCAAAAGTTTAATAGTAAAAAAATCAAATCAAAAATAAAAGGAAGTAAAAAAAAATTTTAAAATATAAAAAAACAAAATAAAAGCAAAAATAATTAAAAATAATTAAGAATTCTAAAAAGTCAAAATAAAAGGTAAAAGAAGTCAAAATGAAGATCAAAAAGATTAATTAAAAATAAAAAACAATAAAATTTCAAAAAGTTCAAAAATGTAACAAAAATCTAAAAAAGTAAAAAAAAAAATCAAATCAAAAAGTCCAAAAATAAAAAAATCTCCAAAAATGTAAAGTAAGGGTAAATTAGGAAACATCCAGTGTATTACAGGAAGGGATAGAATAAAAAAAATATATACCTTATTAATAACTTTATTACTTTATAGAAATAGAATAGACATTATCTTTTTTAATCACAGTTAGAAATACTATTAAGTTTATTTCCTAAAATCTAAAAATCTGGAATTTGATAAATCTAACAACACTCTGAGGGGTTCAATAACAATCTTATAATCCTATATATAGTTTTACTAAATATTTAAGAAGTAGAAATCTAAAACGAGTACAAAAAAAAATGATTTGTACATTTCTTATTCTACGAAAAAATAAAATATCGAAGCTTAGTGCTGATGAAGTTAACTGAAACTTAAAAACTACCTACAAGGCATCTCACCGCACCTTTCGGGGCCATTTCATCACAGTCTTCTAATAAGTAAGTAAATTATACTAATATTAAAATTATTGTAAAATTATTGGTTAAAATTTTTTATATAAAATATCCCAAACAAATTGTCTTTAATTTTAACATGTTTAACATGTCAGGGTATTTTGAGAACTCAAATTTTACCCTGATAAATTTGGGTTAGTAAAATAACAAACAAAAAGTAACGTAACATTTAAAATATTTAAGAAATCCCAAAAACCAAATCCTTATGCAGTGTATATAGGAAAACGTTTCATTTTGTACAATTTACCTGGCTTTTTTCTTTAGTAAATATAAATAATTAATTATTGGTCTTTAATAAAAATATATTATGTATTAGTTATTGTATTTTAGCACATTGTAATACTGCCTTTGATTTTTGCATTCGTAATAATTAAAATATTTCTATCGCTCGTTTTTTGTAGGTACAAAATCCCCTGATTTGCATTACCTTCAGCACCTTCTGTACAATAAAAATAGATCTCTAAACATGTAAAATAGACGACGTTTCTGCACTTAATACTGTTTTAACTCCTATTATAGTTAGTGCCAAACGATTTTTGGCTACTATAGACAAATGACACTGATTTTAGTACCATACTGTATAACGTATAGGCTTACTTATGTTACTGGGGAAACGGAAAATCGCATGGTTTAACCCGGAAGTGGGGCTTCTGCATAGAAATCCGGCTCGTCTTCTTCTACATCCACTTGGTCTCCATCCAACTAAAAAAATAATTTTCAGTTTTACTCTTTTTGTGAGTTTTTTCTTGTAAATAATTATATAAGTCAATATTACAATACAATTATTGTAGTTGTAAAAGTTATATATAAATTATAAACAAATTCATTTCTAAATGTTTTATTGTATAATATTTTATAAAATTGTATAAAATTTTGTAAAATTTCACAGAAATAAAAAGATTATGTAAAAAAAGTAATAGGTAGTACTAAAATTTAGTAAAACTAGTACCAGATTCATTTAATGTAATATTAAAATTTTAATTTATCGAAATCTCTTGTCAATAAAAAAATAAAATCACATATTTTTAAAAATTAACAATTTATTTTCATAAAAATAATGATAATTTTGCAGTCAAAGTAAAGTTCAACTTTTGTAATAGGTAGATGGCGCTGTAATGAAAAAAAATCAATTTTGTTCGATTTTTCTTCTGTATCCGATTCTCCAATAATTTTTTAAATTTATTTATTTTTTAAATTTTAATTAAAGTAGGTGCTCAAAATGGTGGCCTTCAACAATGCATTTCTGTGGGTAAAAGGCATAAGGGGATAAGTCAAAAAAAGCAATTTTTCAATAGAGCCTTTAACGTGTTCGCATTAATTCAGAAAATATATTTATGATTAGCGGGTATACGCTTTTGTTAGCATACGACATCTGCTAACAAAAGGGTATACCTGCTAACCATAAATATATTTCCTGAATTAATGCTGTACTGAAAAATTGCTTTTTTTGACTTATCCCCTTATGCCTTTTACCCACAGATTTATTAATTCGCATTTCGTTTTAATATTTTGCTAACACTGCTCTGGGATATTCCCAAATCTGTAGATAATTCTCGTGTGCTTGCATGAGGATTAGCGGCCGTTGCTGCTAATACATTAATTTCATTATTTCCACCTGTGACTGTTGCTCGACGAACTCTTTTTTTCGGTTGAACACTCCAGTTTGTAGTAAACTGCTTGACTGTACGGAGAAATGAAGTACGTGATCGAATTTTATCCGGGAAACGCTGAGCGTAGATATTAACAGCATTATCAAGATTCCTGCCTGCTTCTCCATAAATCAAAATCATTTCTATTTTTATTCCACTGTTAAAAAATCCATTATGAATAACTGCTTAACGAAAGGAGGTATTTTTTTTGCAAATTAATCTTCGAACTAAATTGATTAAATAATGCTAAACTATAAATAGTTTCTTTATACCTCAATAATAATTATTATTTATAACTAAATACCATTTTTATACCTCAATTAGGATTAAATTAATTAATTGACAAAATATTTTTTTTAACCTTAAATGAGGTATTTTTATTAAAAATAGTACAATAATCCTTTAAATTAAAGGATTTAATGCTGGCAGGTAAAAAGTGACCAATTATCACCGAATGAAATAATGTATAAAACTTAAACCAAAGGAAACTTAAAAATTAGTTAAAAAATCGTGGGTACTTAAAAAAATCAGATAATTTAATAAGATAATTATTACCAAAAAAGTGATATTTTTATAGAAAAATTATTGTAGAATCGTATACAGAAGAAAAATCGAGATATTTCAAGTTAAATGACTCACCCTGTATATGTTAAAGTGACAGGAATTGGAAAAGAAATAAAACTGTTTTGTAGCAAAAAAAACTTTCTCAAGTTTGTTTATTTCTAAACTTTGACATTTCCATTACTTAAAATCAGCTGTTTTAAGCATGAACTTTTTACACATCAATATGCATGAAATGTTTTTTAAACCTAACGTTTCTTTTCTTTCCTTTTACATAATTAATTATATACTGGCAAACCAACATACCTAGTAGTACGTACATTGATAGGCAGGAAATGAATAAAACGTTTTCGTAAGTATTATAATATGATTATTGCATATACGGACCACCATATAAAACTTTTAACATTTTATTACGTATTTGAATTCTCGCACGAGCCTTAACGGTTTTTATATTTTTTTAATTTGTCGCGGGACGAATTTTAATTAAAAACTCTCACATCTCAAATTACCATTTAACATTTGTAGAGAAATTTCTTTCGGTTTGTTTGTGATAAAAATACGTCCGAGTTTTTGCAAGAAATCAGAAAACACAGATTTAACATTTTTCGAATTCACTTTAGTTGTAATTCTCACGTAATCTCATTGTTCGACCGAAACCTGACCCATAAAACACTTTTAATAACGCTTTAGAATGTCTACAATACCAAAACGGTATCCACATCGCATCGACAATAGATAGAGAATAGTACATTCTGTAACAAGTTTGGAATACAGCATATTCCGCTCGAGGAAAAATTTGACACACGAGCCGAAGGCGAGTGTGACGGTTTTACGAGAGTGGAATATGCTATTCCAAACGTGTTTCAGACATTATTTTCTCTACGACTACGTAGGAATAGTAACGCTTATATAATTTTAAACAGAGAAAAGAAACCAAGCAGTTTTTGACATTTAAGTTTTTTGTATTGTCAAACCATTTTGTGCCGTCACAATTTTATAATGTAAATTATAATAAATTGTAACAAATGGTAAGCCTAAATCTTTATTATAATTAAAAATAGTTATTTACACTAACTAATAAAAAAAATAACATTGTAACAAATACAAAACTAATTTTACAAGTAATCTATGTCAACATCTATTCTTTTTCTACATTTTAAAGGTCTTTTTTTAAACTTTTTGAATTTGTCAAAACTTCAAAGCCGGTATAGTAGGTAACTGGTTTATCATTTTAATATCAAATTTATTATAATTTTGATTTGTATATTTGAAAAACAATAAATATAACTAATTTTTTGTGCCTAAACCTTAATTATACAACTGCTATTATTTTTTAATTAACAAATAATACAGTAATATTTAAATATTTTTAAATTTTTAAACATCCAGGAGATGTCGTTACTTGTGACCATTCTTAAACAAGAGTGGGAATATTCTCGCACAGTATTGCAGAAAAACATCCTTTCTATGATCAAAAATTACACTAGAATGTTACTATTCTTAAGTAGTCGTAGAGAAAAGATTTACTTATTAAAAAAAGGATTGTAATCTGTAGATTTAAGTTCGACTTGTGCGGTTATTTTTGAAAGGACATCTGTTTGTTATGGATCGTCGACCCTACCACTCATTTTAAAAATGACGACGAAGGTTATCTTTTGTTCACTAGGTAAAGTACTTAGGTATTTCCTTCCCAGATACTCGATATCCGACATATCCGATTACCGCAGTCCTACTGAGCATGAATTAGTCAATAAACATCTTTAAAATATTTCTCAAATGTAAAATTTTTGAACTAAAAAACTTAATTTATTAATAAGAACGAATTTGAAATTTAAAAAGTTATATAAAATTTTACTATCAAATTAAACACCCTGTATATTAATAGTAATAAAAAGCATGAACAATTGTTAAAATTACATTTATATTATAAAATAAACTTCTAGATAAACTTTGTGTACACATTTCTATTTATAGAAATTGTTTGTTTAGATTTCTTCAACAGTTACTTCCTTTTTATATGACTGTACTTCTCTGGCACAGGCCAACCCCTGTTTTCAGTAGATAGCGGCCTAAAATGCTAATATACACTTGTTGGTACCCCAAAAAGTCTAATATTGATTGAAATGGGTGACTAAGGGTCTTTTATGGGTGTGAGCCAAATGTTACGGTCAATAGTGTAAAGCAAATATTTTTAAAGCAATAAGTAAACATAAAAGTGAGGCATTAAACAATTAAAACTATCCCAACAGACCTTTCATAGGCCTGTATGTTTCAAATAAAATATTAAATTTTCACCTCACTGATTCCGTGAAATTAATGCGAAGATACTTAATACAAACTGCATGGTCATTGCGATGGTAAATCAAGCAATCCTTGAAATTTTATTGTGAAAATTTGTAAATTAACCTTTACAACATGCAAATAAACGTTGCAATTAAAGTAATAACATTGAACAACAATTTAAGTAAAGAAAAGTCTTCAGATTACTTAAGAAACTCATTTTAAATGCGTTTGTTTTCCAAGGTCAAAGTTGTCAAAAAATATACCTAAGCCCACTAGATTTTTTGTTCGAGCAAGTTGATTTCTCTCAATTAAACGCCTTTAAACAATGAAATGAAAAGTGGGCATGACTCACAAAACTTCATATTCAAACATGCAACCAAATCGCCTCAAGCCGCATAATTACGTATTCCCATTACGGAATTAAATCGAAATGTATGCTTTTATCTCAGACAATCTGAGTGGGCTTCTTCAAGTTCATCTATTCATTACTGCACTGAATGGCAGAGGATAAACACCGATATTACTTTCAGTTTATGGCACAACAGTCGTTACAATCTTTAGTGAACTTTTCACAATTTAAAACACGATTTTTTAGTTTTTGTCTATGTATTAGACGCTGTCATCTGTCAAGTTTTAGTTTGACTGTCAAATATCTGTCAAACGACTGTCAAAACCCACGCAATCTAGATTTAACTGTAAAAACTTACCGCTCTTAGTTCTGGTGGAGTGAAAATATGTTTCAGTTGTGCCCTTAAAGGTACCATGAGGATTAAAAAGAACGGGAAGGCCAATGATGCCTTGGTTGATTTTACGACCCATAGAACAACGAGACACATCAGTTGAACACACGTGAACAGGTGCATTTTCGCCGTTCTGACCTGTAAACAAAGGAAGCATGTGGTGTTTTTTTGCCTCTTTGGGATTTTGCAATGTTGCCATTTTTTTTTTGGTTTATATGTCAATTTAATTTTAATTTAAAATATTTATTAATGAATTTCCACGAATTAACGGTGACTAAAAAATAGCAATTGAATGCTTCATTTCGTTTGCAAATAAAAATGGTTTAGGTAAACTGAGTCATGACAAATTTAAAAAGTAACAGTTTGTAACGTATTTTAGCTTTGTTTAAATTTTCTACCTGCTTAATAATCGAAAACATAAAATTTGCATGTTAAAAATAAAACAAACGAAAGTGGTCGATAACAGGCAGCCAATTAAATTCAAATAAATTTAAATTTGAATCGTGATCATGCGCATCGTAAAACTTTCACGTTTAAATAAATAAATTAGATAGACAATCAAATAGTGCAGATGATTCGATATCGCTATAACCCGTATACCAACTAAAAATGATAATAAATCAGTTTTCGTGTTTAATTTCGACAACAAAAGATAGCCTGGGAAAAGTTTAAAATAACACGTGTCAGTTTTATAATAATTGTTATTCGAAACGTGTTTCGATTTTCGAAAATATCGCTGGTAGACGGGAATGAAGAAATGTGCGTGTTCTCATTATCGATTCGCAATATTGCGCGAGGGCACCATGTCTGTTGAACGTTTTGGAGAGCGCAGGACCGTAACACAAAAAAAGAAATACAAATTGATTGGTATCATTATGTAATTTTTTTAAATAAATATTTTTCATTTGAGCTTTTGTTTTCGAATCATCGACCTTTAATTGTTTTTATATAAACCTCTTTATCTTTTTTGGTGGATTTTTCTAATGAAAATGATTGGCACAAAAAATGTGACATTTCAAAAACTGAAAAAATACGACCACAATCCACATAAAAAAAATTACGAAGTTAAGCAACCCATTGCACAGACTCTAATGGCGGCCATTTTTATGTAAACAGTTCTTGTGCTTTGGGTTTGTGCTGTTTATAAAGATTAAAAATCGTTTTAAACGTTAAGTTTCTTACAGAGGCACTTGTAGGCCTTAAAGTGCAAAGGACAACCATTTTAGTCCTCTTTTGTAAAAAATCAACCTTATTCTATCAGGGCTGTCATTAAACTGCCAAATGTCAATTTTAAGGTTAATTTACCATACCCACAAATTCCATTGTGCTGCTCATCATATATTTTAAATTTGGTTCATTTTCAAAATTCTTGTACAGGGTGATCCCCTATAATGTTGCCCCCCTTTAACTTTTTTATTTTAAGTGTCCGAAAAAATTTCAAAGTGTGGTTATGTAGGTACTAAAAAATACTTTTTTTCTACGTATAAAGAAAATTGGAAAATTGACCAGTATACAGGGAAAAACAAAAAAATATTTTTTTTCAATGGATCACCCTATATATGTATTTATTTTTCAATTCCTTGTAAAATTCTAAGCATACTTCATATAAAATACCATATACCTAAATTCAACCGTTTCTGAAATATTTAAAATATTTTTAAGATAATAAGTTGAAATAGTTTGTCGTTCTCTGTCTGAGTAGGCCATTTTTACTTATTTAACAAGACATATTGACATAATGTCACTATAATAATTTATTTTCAATAAAAATTTTGGTGTACTGAGGCTTCTTGATTTCTAACAGTTTAAAATAACATTAATAATAACATTTAGAATGCGAATATTTCAGAAACAGTTGAATTTAGGATATGGTTTGTTATATGAATTATGCTCAGAATTTTACAAGGAATCGAAACATAAATTCATACCTATATAAGGTGATCCATTGAAAAAAAAATTAACTTTTTGTTTTTCCCTGTATATTGATCAATTTTTAATTTTTTTTAATACGTAGAAAAAAAGTATTTTTTAGTACCTACATAAGCACACTTTTAAATTTTTTGGGACACTTAAAATAAAAAAGTTAAAGGGGGGCGACATTATAGGGGATCACCCTGTACATTTAAGAAGAAAAAAGTAAAAACTAAATCTACAAACCTGTTTCGAAATTTTGTTTTTTAAGGGGTGTTATTTAACACCTAAAAGTGGTTAGATTTATTTAAATAAGAAAAAAGAAAAAAAATGGTCCTCTGGGTCACATACCAACATATTAAAAAAACTTATATAAAAATGCTTAATCATTTTGAAAATATATTTTTTTGATTGTTAATAATCCTTTTAAGGTTTTATTTACACTAGAATTTGTTTAAAAAAAGAACATACATTTATTATTTATAAAAAAAAATTGAGTACAAAACTAATTAAAAGCAAAAACTAGGTATGTCCTATTTCTCAAAGAGCGTAAATATTTTACATCTGGCAATACTGCTCTAAATTACAAAGTTTTTGTCAAATAAAGTGTTAAAATTATTATCTTTTAAACTCGATTTTTATAAAAACTTTTTAATTAAAAAAGGGAATTTTTTTGTAAATGCAAAAACCAAAATGTAACCAACACAATCAAATGTCAAAATAAATAAAAATTGAGTGGCAGCACTGATACTGACATCTGTCAGTTAACATTTTTGACAGTTGTCATTATACCGAATAAATTGTGCATAAAAACGCGATATAAATCTTTATAGGTGGTGTGAAATCTTCCGAGTGCGGCCCTGCGCGCTTCGCCAAACTCCATACAAAGCCGAAATACGATTGCGTGCAGTATTCGTTCGGTCCGCTGTGCTCGGCAGTCCCACCACTTTCCGCCCGCCCCGCTCGACCCCGCAAACTCGCGTCGAAAAGGCGGAGGGGACGACTAGTTTCGCCATCTGGCTACGAGAACCAAATCAAAATTAAAAACGAACCGCTGCTGTCGAACTGACCTGCATCTAGAATGCTAGCGAACTGAAAGTGTTTTGTGCGTTCAGGTGAGTTTTCGGTGCTTGTTTTTTGCGGTTTAATTGACGAAAGTCGTTGTTGTTTGCAGGTAAATACAGCGTAGAAGAGCGTCGGGCGTGGCAACGTTACTCATCAACATCATCGAGTCGCCGGTGATAAATTGACAGTTAAACAATGTTAGCGTGATTCTGTGATCGTTGTTGTTACGATGAGTGCCAATAACGTGAACGCGTCGCCGGCAGCGGCAACGCAGCAGGCAACGGCCACAATTAAATCGCGTCCGAACATAATGCCGAGCAGTTACATGTACACGTCGTCGAGTGCGCTTTTGAACCGCGGCGGCGGCGGAAACTCGGAAAACAAGCCCACGCCGCCGCCCACGCTCCCCAAATACACGTCGAGCTTTAACGCGGGAAACGGCGGTTTGAATCGCGACCGCGACAAGGAGAGCATCGGCGGATCGTACAGGCTGAGCAGCCTGGACAGGTTGGCCATGCGGCAGAAGTTCATGGACCAATCGCCCGCCTCCACCCCGACCAACGGCCAATCGGCGACCCCCGCGAACGGGGACGCAGCCCCCGCGATCCAGACGAAGCGCGAGATGTTCTTCACCGCGACGGAGGCCAACAACAAGGACTCCAATCGCGTCAACAAAGAAAAAACTGCCGAAAACGCGACGAAATCGCCTGAGAAGGAATCGTCGGAAAACAGCAAAGAAACAACCCCGGAGATAATTAAAGAGCGTCCGAAACCAAAGGAGCTTGACGGCTACGTGGGTTTCGCGAATTTACCCAATCAGGTGTACAGAAAAGCCGTGAAAAAAGGCTTCGAGTTCACCCTAATGGTGGTGGGCGAGTCCGGGCTGGGAAAATCGACGCTGATAAACTCGATGTTTCTGACCGACATCTACAACTCCACCGATTACCCGGGCCCCACGCAAAGACTCAAGAAGACCGTCGCGGTGGAGACGACGCGCGTTGTTTTGAAGGAGAACGGCGTTAATTTGACCTTGACCATGGTGGACACCCCTGGATTCGGCGATGCCGTCGACAACTCGAACTGCTGGGCGCCGGTGATCGAGTACATAGAAAGCAAGTACGAGGACTACTTGAACTCTGAGGCGCGAGTTACGCGGAAGCTGCTGGCCGATCAGCGAGTTCACTGCTGCTTGTACTTCATACAGCCGAGCGGGCACGGCCTGAAATCCCTGGACATCGAGTTTATGAAGAGGCTGTGCGACAAAGTCAACATCATCCCTATTGTGGCGAAAGCCGACACGCTAACGTCCGAGGAATGCGCTCTATTCAAAAAACAAATCCTGAACGAAATCGCTCAAAACAAAATCAAGATCTACGAGTTCCCCGATACGACCGAAGAAGACGAAGAGCACAAGCTGAACAAGTCGTTGAAAGATCGCGTGCCTTTCGCCGTGGTGGGCTCCAACGCCGTCATAGAGGTGGACGGTAAAAAAATCAGGGGGCGCAAGTACCCCTGGGGCATCGCCGAGGTGGAAAACTTGGAGCACTGCGATTTCATCGCGCTCCGCAACATGGTCATACGCACGCATCTGCAGGACTTGAAGGACGTCACAAACAACGTGCACTACGAGAACTACAGGTGCAGGAAGTTGGCCGGGCTGGGTAGCGACGGTAAACCGTCTAGGATTTCCAACAAGAACCCGCTGGCGCAGATGGACGAGGAAAAACGCGAGCACGACGTGAAAATGAAGAAAATGGAGGCCGAAATGGAGCAAGTTTTCGAGATGAAAGTGCGCGAAAAGAAGCAAAAACTCAAAGACAGCGAGGCGGAACTGACTCGAAGACACGAGGCCACAAAGAAGCAGCTCGAACAGCAAGCAAAGGAGCTGGAAGACAAACGAAGGCAGTTCGAGGCGGAAAAAGAACAGTGGGAGAGGGAAAACCAAGTTACTGTGGAGGAACTGAGGAGGAGATCGTTGGAGGGCAGTCGGGAGACTGTCGATGGCAAGAAGGAGAAGAAGAAAAAGGGGTTGTTCTAACATTCGATGGAGCACTTCTACAAGTGAATTATGTCGAGAAAAAATAAGTTCTTTCCGACCATTAAATTTCCAGTTATTGGGTTTTAATGTTTCCAAAACTAGGCAACTTTTGTTTCGTTGACTTTAAACCCCATTAACAAAAACTAATGGTCGGAAAATAGTGCTTAAAACGGCGTGACACCCTGTATAATTTAGTTACAATACCGCATGTCTATCATGTAGCAAGAAAAAAAAACTAGAAGATCCCCATACTGCCGAGGAGTAAGTAACTTTTACGTTCCACTTGTCAGTCTGAATTTTTTACCATGATAACTAGCGAGCTGATCAATGTTAGACCTTAAAAATTAAGACAGTATAAACAATCGCAAGGGAAATATGAATACGTTGAAATAGCTCCCGAAAAATATTTTCAGTGTCGTTTAAAGGACATTTTGCTTGAAAGCATTGTGCCATTTTATGTTTTATTTATAATTTTATATTTATAAAGAATTTTTTGAGAAATTTATTGTTTTAAATACGATGCTAAATTTCTTTGAGTGACTATAAAATATATATTAAAAAAAATGTATTGACGAATGTATGTAATACAAAAATAAATCATCTCAATAATTTACATGTGCCTTTTATTTACCACACGTGAAAATCTAAAAATAATTTTGTTTGGATAAACGAAATAAATGCAATTCATTACTTTTTCCTGTAAGTATAAAATTTAAAGTATTTATTGGGTACTAGTCATTTAGTTATACACATACAATTTTATCTACAATTTTCTGATAAAAACATTCTGAAAACCACAAATTCATACAGATTAAAATTACTTTCAAATTTTAAATATTTACGTGCTATAACGTGTAGTTAAAATTACTTTTATTAATATTTAGGCTAGTAAATATTACCTATTTTTTATCAATTTACCAAATATACGTAAATTTTTAGTCTAAATGGTTAAATCAGCTTTTTTAAGGCAAGCAACTTTTTTATCATTATATTTCAACGTTTTGGTTTTATATTTTTATCTACCTATCCACTTCCTGGCCAGTGGTTATCTTCAACCAAATGAAATTCCACAAAAAGACAACATTGTTAAAATTTAAATCACATTATAAATATTGAAATACTGTTAAATATTAATATTAAAATTCTGCTGAATTTACGCAAATTGATATGCAAATTATTAATAATAAATACATTTTATTTTTCTTTGGTAACATTCACATCTGCCATTGATAATTGATAATAATACTGTAAAGATCGTAAATTAAATAAATAATTATTTAATTTACGACATTTTAGGTATCAGTTTTAATTATGCTAGTAATTAATTTTGTAATGTTATTGCTATTAAATAAAATTAAAATTTAATTTTATAAAAATGATAAAAAATATTAATTTTTTTAAAAATGCTTGACATATATTTTTTTATAGGCATACATCATACTGTAATACCCAGCAGGGTTAAAAAAATCATGATTTAAAAAATCAATGATTTTTATTAAAAAAAAAATAAAAAAAATCAACCAAAAATGATTTTTTTTAATTATAAGCTTTTTTAATAAAGTGTACTATAAAAAATACTAAAAATAACTTTTTTTTAATTTAAATCATTGATTGAAATAGAAAAAATCACTTGATTTAAATCAGGAAAACAAACAAAAAAATCTGAATTTTATAAGTTGGCTTTGATTTGTCTTTTTTTAATTCGATATCATCTAAATAATTTTTTGTTTTAAAACAATTTTGAAAAAAGAATTTTTTTAAAATTTTCATTTTATTTTAATAATAATAATATAGACACAAAACAAGACACATTTTTATAGGAAATTTCACCAGAAAGGTCCTTAACGTTTTTTGTAAAACCATTTATTTAAATAATATCGAAAGTAATTAGGTAGAGTTAAACAAAATAGAAAAAACATATTTTTTCAAAATGGTTTTTAGTAGAATATTTAGTAAAATACATTTTTCTATAACAATAAAATTTCATAAAATAACCTTGACAACGGAAAAAAACTTTTTTTTTAATTATTTTTTGACTGTAAGGTAAATTCAAATGATATTTTTTTTAGTTCAATTTAATTAACAAAAGAAACCTATTGGTAATATTACTAACTAGTTAAATATTTGGTTTATTTATAGACAATTTAAACTCTTAAAATAAAAATTAGGTTATTTTAGAAGTAACATAACGTTACATGTAATGCATTAACTTCTAATTTTAACCTTTGAAAAGACTAGTTATTTTTTTAGACATATGTTGGTTTAGTTTAACTAGGTATTGATATAACTTTTTGGTAAATTATCCACAACTTTGGTTAATTTGGATACATTGTTTTAACCACAAGTTTTATTTTACCAAATATATTTTAACTCGCTGGTAAATTAACGTTAATTAATAAACTGGTAAAAAAGTGATGGTAATGATGGCAGTTTTTATTGTTACTGGTATAAAATAATAGTCTAAATACAGCTTTATCTATTTCGCGTTCATAATGACTTCATTATAACACCGCTTTTGGTTCTTTAATGAGGTACTTTATTCCACCCAAAATTTTGGTTTTATAGGTTGGCTACTAGTAAAATAAAATATTGAATACCTATAGGTTATAATATTTTTATGATTTGTTCGTGCAATAAATTTTGTTTAACACCAAAGAAAATCCTTTTTTCTTCTTTAACAGCCCCTTATTGTAAATACTTATTGTAAATTAACGACGCCATAGCGAAAGAATGTGATAATGTTTGAAAGGTTAATGACCTTTCAAACTTCAAATTGAGATACCAACTATGTAAAGTAAAATTCGACCAAATTAAATATAAGGTATAAAATTAATTTGTTTTATAAAATGTTTGCAAAATAGATAAAATAGCATAAAGAACTCATGTCATAAGACCTTTTGTCGCACTTGTCCATTATAAAACTCGCTCCTTCGTCGCTCGTTTTATTAATTTGTCCGCGTGCGACAAAATGACGTCTTATGACATTAGTTCTTTAATATACTATTATAATATAATATTATATGTATATGTAATCCTATAGGTTGTGCGATAACTAAGCCTAAAAGAATTTTTAAAAAACATAGACTTTCTTCAACTTACTATAAAAGAGTTAATAAAGTTGTAAATCTTTATTTATCTACAAATCTTAAAACAGTCCTCTCACATTTCATTAATTTGGTAAGCATCTATACGCTAAAGTAGTATCGGGTCTTCATCTTGTGGCATTGCGTGAATTTAAGAATTGTCAACCATACATTTAAAGCATACCATTTTAAATAAATGGGTAGTTTTTTCACACAAAAAAAAAGGAAATCTTACTCGACAAATTTTGTTCAATTGCACAGCTAAATCGCGCACGTTACTTGTGTTTTACGTTGCAAGGAAAAAACTAAAAAACTGGTTTAGTACTCGATTTCGATTGATTATTCTTTATATCATTGATTAAGAAACTCAACGCTTAAACGCTTATATAGTTACGATAGTGACTGTATTTTATCTAAGGGAACATGGTGAATTATTGTGTTTTTAATTGTAAATAAAATTCAAAAACTAAATCGTTGCATTTTCATGTTTTGCCAAAGAATCCAATTCAAGTACATTTGTTGGTGCAGAATTAACTAATGATAACTTTACCTAATATAATTTATATTTAAGTTTAGACATTTTTAAGAAATTAGTAAAAAATAATTTTTGCACAAACATAACCTTAAAATCAACCATTTTTATATTTGAGTTCTCTAAAAAACGCCGACAACTGCATTTTAAACAACAAAATATACCTACGAATTCATGGCAACATAATATAATATATAATACATAATATAATGGTATTTTACCGTTGGGTGGAGACTTTAAAGAATTCTTAATCAACGCTTTTAATAATGCTAAATGCTGTTTGAATTTAGACGACTTATTTGTTTGACGATTTTTACTGAATTTAAATGTTTACACTTTTCACGTTAATGATTACTAAAATGTGTATTTATTGTATCTAATAGATACAATTTATATTTACAGGGACTGTATGAAATTTATTTCTTTATTCGGATTAACACTGTTTATTGGAAAACCGATAAAAACTCAACCCAGGATTTCCGCTCGAAATACACCCAATAACAAAACAAATCGTGCCAGGGTTTTTTTCTCGATATTTTTTAACATTTTCCGGCTTTATTCTCAAAAACACTCGTTTGTAACCTAAGCGTTTGACAGCTGATTATCAAAAGTTGTGCTTTTGGTAGGATGATAACAGCCGAGTGGTGGCGCTACTAGCGATACTTCTTTAGCCTATATGGTTGCTATAGTTAACACATGTGCCATTATAAGCCTACTTCATAAATGTAATTCTTCAATGTAGGTACTTGATTTAAATATGGCTTCATTAAATTTATGTGACTTCCTTGTTCCTAAAGCGCGAGTTTGTTAAACTTTGATTTATGTAACGAGTTTAGTGCACTCGATTTATTTTTATTTAATTTATCCGAGCACTTTGTATAGAGATAATCGATTTACGTGTTTATAATTTAAACGCGTCTGAACGCCCAAATGCGGCAAGTACTGAATAATATTATTATTGCAAATGTAAACAGAAATCATGTTTATGTCACATTCAACTTTGCTGTGTGATGTGTTTAGGTTAATTAATATTAAATTTTATACTCTATGTTAGGGTGTTTTAAAATAAGGCAATCTTTTTTTTCTTCAAATTCATGTGATATTCTCGTCACTTTTGCTAAAAAAAATTGTGTCAAAATTTGAGCTCTTAATACTAATTTTAAAAGGTCCATCATCCAATTTAAACTATTAACAAAAATAGTTTTTTAAGATGTGTTTTTAGGACAGTTTGTGAGAAATCATCAAGAAACTAATTTATTGTTATTGCTATTATTGATAAAGATGTGACACTTTTATCGTAAAAAACAAACTCTACAACGTAGGTACACAAAATGCCTTTTTAATCTCCTCTGATTAGAATTCCACGAAAGTATTTCCCATTGTTAACACATCGTTGTCAAGTATACCTACTTAACAATACTTCAAACACCTTGAGTAATTTCCTAAACATATGCGTATGTCGTGAAAAAAAATTCCAGAACAATGTTGTTTTTGTTTTGTTTAAGTGCGAGTTCTTCACTTGTTTGCCACTTTCTTTTGTTTTCTAAAACGAGAGTCGAGATAATTAGCAGAGGGTGGCTTATGTACAATACAACAATGCAAAATGTATTTTTTATTTGCCTTATTATCGAGCATGAAAAACAATTTTTAATAAATTTGGCTATTTTTAATAAGCCGAAATATTCCAAATCAAGGCTGGAATGAAGGCTTTGGCCCCCACAAAGTCCAGACTTAAAACTTATGGATTTTTTATTGCAACGATTCGTTTATCCAAAACCGTTAGCTAAAACTAAAAATTAAAATTTTAATGCCTTTCGGTCGACCTCGTTATCAAAAAAAAAAGAATATCGAAAAAAAAAAGAATATCGAATTAGTTCCAGCGTTTAACCCTGTTACTGATTTCAATCACTTTGCATAAATTTCTTGACAAAATAAATGCAAGCCGTAATAAAAGCTCATAAAGCCCTATAAAAACATGGTTTTATAATTAGTGGCATTTAAAATTAAAACTTCCCATTACCACCCTTTATTTGCCGCTCCACTGTTCATTACTTGACGCACAAAAAGCACCGTTTAATGATCCGAACGCTTTTATTGTTTAGGTAAAGTCTTCAGTTTTAAGTTGGGATCACCCGTCTAGAAAATTTGTTCTAATTGCCTAAGCGGATTTATTTCCTGCTTCAAACTCAACTTAAAGGTGTGCTGATATGTTCTACGAAAATCCATTCTTTTTTAGATATTTTTAATTTAATTTAATGGTAGGTAATTAATTTTATTGATACTTTTGAATTAAAAATTTTTTTTTTAATAATATTAATAATAAACGATAACATCCCGTGTAGTCTTGGCAACTAATTTTTTACTCGGAAACCAGACGGTCAATTTATCTAAAACTTTGTAAATATCTTTTAAGTATACTCTACTACAAATTAGAGTTTTTTAACATTTTTTTATAGGGACTTATATCGTGCCCGGAAGCCCTTAAAAAAGGCGTTACTTCATTATTACTTCCTGTCATAATGCAAGAGGGTTCTAAGTGAATAAAGAAATCTTCGCGTATGAGGTCAGTTATCATCTTAATTAAGAATTTCCTGTTGGGTAATGCAAAATGTTTTGGTTTTAATTTAAATAAGATAAGTATGGTGAACAAATTTATTTGTTTTCTTGGAAGACTATTTTCTTGCAAAAAGAAATAAACAGTAAAAGTACTGTGATTTAAATTTGAACATCTGCGATGCAAGTGCATTGTTTTTGCGTTTTCACTTAGTCTTAGATTTATCTTCAAAATTTTTAATTGTAAAAGGAAGTTTTTATTTTGTAAACGTTTACCTATTTTTTTTGTTTATTTACAATTAAGTGGGTCTATATGGGTAATTATACTTTTTAGATCCATCTACATCTAAAAAATTAATATTTCATATTTCCATATCCATTGTGACTACTATTTAGGCAAACTAAAAAAGGTAATTATACAAAACCTATGGAATATATCCAAGTTTTCAGTATTACAATATTAAGACATTAAAAATATTATTATATTTAATTCAAACATTTTTTATTAATTTTTGTTAATTTAAGTGACCCATATACTGGACAGAACATATTGTACATTTTATGCTCTTTAACGTGGTTTTTGTTTGAACTAAACTAAACTATGTTACAGAGTTTAACGCAAACCTCTGTAAAATGCAAAATAGGCTAAAGCACCAATACAAAAAAAATTGTCAGCAACTATCATTTGTTGATTTGATATTGATTGACCCTAAGATGTTTATTTAAAACAATGTACATAAATGGCATTTAATCTTCAATCAAATACAAACAATAATACAAATAACAATACAATTCTTATCATATGCAATGTGGAGAAATACAATGCAATTTTTTGCTGTTTAATATGCCAATAAAAATTTAATGGAGTTTATTAGGAAATGAGTCATTTTAGGTAAGTACGAATTATGTACCTATTTAATTTATATACCTAAGTGAAAAAAATATATTTGGTATTAAAGATAAGTAGTCAATCAATTTAGATAACATAGACAAACAGATAGTAAAAATATTCATCAGGCACATTTTTTGTTATTTATTTGCATGACACGAAAAATAAATATTTTGGTAATAAAAATTGCAGTTTTAAAATGAGCATTATTTTTATTAGTTCTTTTTATTTTTGTAAACCTACAAATAAAGTTTTCCGTAATCTATTCACGTAATAACGTAAACACACGTAACGTAACGTAAACATAATTAAGTAATTTTCAATTTTAAGGTAAATTTACCATAACCCACAAATTAACCTTAAAATTGACATTTGACAGTTTAATAACAGCCCTGATAGAATAAGGTTTATTTTTCACAAAAGAGGAGTAACATGGTTGTTCTTAGCACTTTAATGCTTCATTTGAGGCTTAAAAGTGCCTCTGTAAGAAATACAACGTTTAAAACGATTTTTATCCGAAATCGTCAGTAAAGTAGTCAACAAATCGGTAGTAAAGTAAAAGAAATCGGCAGTAACGTAGAACTTTACTGCCGATTTAATACGAATATTGTATGCAACCCATTATACATTTTAAGATGTGTCTACTGCTCCTCAGCAGCAACTAAATAATATTAAAAAAAGCACCGTCGTGGAGGTTCATTGGACCCTTTTATAAAATGTTTAATAAAAATAATAAGTTAATTTTATTAATTAGATTAAAAATCGCCGCGGCGGGCAAATATATAATAACCGTCGCAACAAACAGTATACGTACTTCCTACATTCAAATGACATTTGATTTGATCATCAAATATTAAGTATTAGTAAATAATATAATTAAATGTGATTTCGGAAAAAATTTAATATGCACCTTGGCATTTAAGTAATTTTTTATAAAATACGACTTTACTGCCTTGATACATAAATAACTATTAATCTGTTTAAACGGCACAAACCCAAAGCACAAGAATTGTAAACAACATAAAAATGGCCGCCACAGATTATAAAGGTTGGCCATAAAATGGCCGCCGTAACTGATTTTGCTAAACTTCGCCCATTTTCTATTAATAAAGGCAATATTATTATTATTATTGATGATGATTTTTGGTATATACATAATAAGATTTATTTAGAATTTACCAAAGACTAAAGATTTTGAAAATATTAAAAAATTTCAAAATTTTCGAAATGTTGCGAAAATTTGATAATTGAAATATTAAAATTATTAAAAATTTCAAAATTTTTACCCTAAAAATTGTCAACAATTATTTAGAAATTGATGGTAAACCTGCAAAACCATTAAAAAAATATCCGGTTGAATTATAATTTACTATTACCAAAGAATTTTTAAATTTTTAAAATTTTTGTAAATTGTAAAGAATTTTATTTAAAACCAGCAAAAAATTTCCGGTGGTATTATATATATACTGTTGCCGAAGACTAATGATTTTGAAAATATTGCCAATTTTTAAATTTTAAAAATTTTGAAAATTTGAGAAATATTGGTAATTTCAAAATTTTTAAAAGGTTTTAAAAGTACTTATGCGGATAACAAATTTTTGAAATTTAAAAAAATATTAAAAGTAGGTACCTACTTATTATTTTGGAAATATTGAAAATTTGAGAAATATTGAAAATTTAAATTTTAAAAGTACTTATGAACAGATACTCATATTATCCTAAAAATGATTAACAATTAATTAGGCATTTAGAAATTTATTTTAAAAATGCAAAACCAAAAAAAATACTATAATATAATATTAGAATGTACTGTTACTGAAGACTAAAGATTTTAAAAATATAAAACATTTCAAAAATGTTTAATCTGTAGAAACACCACAAACTCAAAGCACAATAATTGTAAACATAAAAATGGCCGCCGTCAGAATCTGAGCAGTGATTTTTAGTATATATAGTATATATACATAATAAGATTTTAAGCATGTGCAAATAGAAAAAACAAAGACACTGTTTAACAAAATGTAAAATGTTTTTTAAGAACTATTAGATCATTCAGAATTTAATTATTCATTGCTACTCCGAGAATTTAGGGAGTCGTACAAGCAGAAGGGGAAAAAATGACCGTAAATATAAATTTTGAAATTTTAACCATAAAGTAGACACGGTGTGCCTGAACGAAGTTTAATTCACATAAAAATGCCGCCAAAAACTGACTGCAGTTTCTTGTTCGAAATTTTTTGAAAATTCATGATTTTTTTTTATATTTTTGTTTATCTTAAAGTCTACCTTTGACAGAGTACACATTTGTGCACCGATTTTTATAATATTGGAGTATATTGTTAAGGAGATTTGGAGAATACTTTTTTATACTGTGCACATCATTTTTTTTCAAGGTTAGCCAAAAATCGCTTCTTTTAAGAAAGCGTAAATTCATGATTTTGGCATAACACGCAAAAAAGATATATACCCGCCCATGTTTTTTTAGATATTTTTATGTTTATCAGGCCACAAAATGGGATTCTTATTAAGACTTGATTTTGAATAAAATTAAATAAAATAACATTTTTTGGAGATAAATCTTTTTGTGCATTATGCTTTATACTATATAAAAAAGTGATTTTTGGCTAACCCTGTATAAATCTAATGATGTGCTCAGAAGAAAACAGTATTCTCCAAGTCTCGATAACAATACACTCCAATATTATAAAAATCGGTGTACAAATGTGTTCTCTGTCAAAGGTAAGATAAACAAAAATTAAAAATAAAGAATTTTCAAAAATTTCGAAAATAGGAGCAGCTAGGATTTTGGTAAATATCATTTTAAAGTTACCAAAGGGTCCCGAACAAAAAACTGCAATCAATAAAAATCGGTGTACAAATGTGTACTCTGGCAAAAGTAGACTTTGCGATAAACAAATAATTAATAAAAAAATGATTTTTTAACAAATTAAAAAAAAGCAGTTAGAATTTTGGTAAATATCATTTTTAAATCTCCAAAGAGTGCCGATCAAAAAACTGTACAGTGTGCCTGAACGAAGTTTAAGTCACACAAAAAAGATTTATCCCCATTTTTTTAGATATTTCTACGTTTATCAGGTTACAAAATGGCATTCTTATTAACCTTTTATAAAAAAATAGTTAAATAAAATATCGCTTAGAGAATATTTAAAATGTTGTTTAATTTAGGCTTTTTAGTAGTTTTCAATTTTGAACGAAAAACTGGTTAAAGTTTTTTGATCGTGTAGATGAGGCTACAAAATTTTGTAAAACTTATTAAAATCGAACAAAAATGTTACCTGTTATAGGCACTTTGAATTTTAAAAATTGTCCTATCTTGGCTAAAAAATTTATTAGTGTTTGGATGTAAAAACCGGTTTTTCCATAATATTGCAAAAACAATAGCTACATATGAAAATCGATTACCCTAGAAAAGTTATTGGCCACCAATTATAATTCATAAATAAATATAAAAATGTACTTACCCTTCTTACATACGTGGTGTTTGGATGATGCTTGACAGGCATAAACAACAGTTTAATCCTGTCAAAAAACTGTATACCATCTATGGATGCCACCCCCATGTACAGAAAAATACCGAAAAGGACCGCCATAGGCACCAACCTGATAAAAATAAAATACGAATTATTCATCAAGTTCACGGTGCTGTTCTGAGATGTGATTTTTGGACTTTCTGTGAAACCTAATTTTTTTTATATTCTTGTTAATTAGGTCATAACTAAAATTTTAAGAGCAAAATAAAAAAAATTTGACGGTTAATTTTGTTTTAATTGGATGTTTATTAAAAATATGTATGCACACTTTCAATTCTCCAATTAAAACTTGCGATTTTATTTAAATATTATCATAACTTTTTAAATCAGATTAAAGATTAGTTAATTTCCTAAAAAAGGTCTATACATTTTTTATATCTTTTACTGTTTTGTTGTAATACACGTTTAAAGTTTTAATTTAAGGTTAAATGTATAGTATACATTTATTAAACAATAATTCTAAGGGTGCCACATTTTATTTAGGGCCGATTTATTCATTTTTGATTTATTTGACGAATAATTTCTTTGGATACTAGATATTGCCAAGACATGAAAGTTATCGGCCCGATAAACTTTACTAAAGATGAATAAACCGGTCCTTAGTTAAAGTTCATGAATTTCTTCGTAAGTTTTACTACAATTTTTGTTTATAAAAAACACTTTAAAAAACTAAACAAAAATTATAGAATACGTATACTGAAAATGACAATTCAAACGTCAAATAAATTTTTAATAGATCTAAGTTTCATGGCAACCTTTATAGACCAGGGTCGATAATTTTTGAAACCAAAAAAAATAACAGTAGGATGAAACCCATTGGAAAAGGAGAAGAATATAATAAAAATGAAAGGAAAAATAAATTACGGGCGATCTGACTTCGGGAAGTGGGAGGGGGGGGTTTAAGGGTAAAAAATGGTTTATCTCGATTTCCGGCAAAGTCCTAAGGAAAAAAGTTAAATGGCAAAGTTGTAGGTAATAAAAGGATCTACAACTTTTGTAATTACAATTTTTTTACATATCCTCAAAATTTATGTGAAAAATTCAAAAAACCAAGTTTTTGGTTTTTTATTTTAATCTTTTTAAAAAAAAAATTTTTTCCACGAAATTTGGTGAAAACTTACCTTTTTATGTCCCAAATACACTGTAATTTATTTGATTTGAAATATTAATTATTTCGCCTTATTTTGACTTAATATCAAAAAAGCACCCTAATTTTCAATCGAAAATTCTCGCGTCAAAATATCAGCTTTTTTCAAAAAGTCGGTGTGCTTTTTGTTTGTTGAAATCTCTACTTTCTGATGGTGTAAAAAATATTCATTACTATGGTAAATGTTCTCAGAAAATGCAAAAAATATTATAATGAATAACGAAAAAAACTCGAATTCGAAAATTTATTTTAATCATTATGTACAATTTCATCAAAAAAATGTGATTGTTGCAATTTTTTTAGTTAAAAAGTTTATTTATTAAAATTTAATAACGTTTATGTCAGAAAATCTCATAAAATATAAAAATACATGTAAATCATACTATTGAATTTAGATACTTCATTCTGATTACGTTATTCATTATAATATTTTTTGTATTTTCTGAGAATATTTACCATAGTAATGTATATTTTTTTTTACACCATCAGAAAGTAGAGAGTTCATCGAACAAAAAGCACACCGACTTTTTGAAAAAAGCTGATATTTTGACGCGAGAATTTTCGATTAAAAATTAGGGTGCTTTTTTGATATTAAGTCAAAATAAGGCGAAATAATAAATATTTCAAATCAAATAAATTACAGTGTATTTGTGTATTTTGAAAAAGATAAAAATAAAAAACCAAAAACTTGGTTTTTTGAATTTTTCACATAAATTTTGAGGATATGTGAAAAAACTGTAAATACAAAAGTTGTAGATCTTTTTATTACCTACAACTTTGACATTTAACTTTTTTCCATAGGACTTTTAGTTTTGCCGGAAATCGAGATAAACCATTTTTTACCCTTAAAACCCCCCCTCCCACTTCCCGAACTCAGATCGCCCGTAATTTATTTTTCCTTTAATTTTTATTATATTCCCCTCCTTTTCCAATGGGTTTCATCCTACTGTTATTTTTTTTCTCTTTTTACCATTTTTAAAGGCTTCTGCACTGGTCTATTAAGGATATATTAATTAAGGGAACATAAATGTATACGTCAAAGGTTAGATTAAAAGTTTGAACATTTATTGCAACAAAACAGTAATATATATAAAAAAAATTGTAAAAACCTTTTTTTTTAGTTATGCAAATATTAAATATTTAAATTAAATCGCTAGTTTTAATTGGATAATTGAAAGAGTGCATAATATTTTTAATAAACAGCCAATTAAAACAATTCAAACCGTCAATTTTTTTTTTATTTTGCTCTTAAAATTTTATTTGTGACCTAATTAACAAGAATATAAAAAAAAATTTGGTTTCATAGAAAGCCCAAAAATCACCTATCAGAACAGCACCGTGAGTTCTAAGTAGTGTTGCAAAAAAGGAAAAGTTCGGTCGAAAAGTTGGAAAAGTTGGAAAAGTTCGGCACCCCCTATGAAAAGTTGGAAAAGTTGGAAAAGTTATTAGGTGGGAGCCAATGAACAATGAGTTGACTTCTAACCAGTGTTTCCACTACCATTTTTTTTTGGTAGATAATTTGGTCAAAATTCGATATAAATCGTTAGATTTGAAGTGTTTTTAGTAAAACATGCTAAAAGCATTGTTTTTTGGAATAAAATTTTGTCAAACTTTATCAAAAATGGTGTCTGCTAACAGCATTTTCTATTATATAAAGATTCTTTTAATATAACGTATTTTAAATTTATACACAGTATGAAAAAAAATATTATTTTTTTTAATTATGGAAATTTGCAAGTGAAAATATAAAAGTGGAAAAGAAGAAAATTTTCTTTTTCTTTTTAAATTTTTACTTGTAAATTTCCATAATTTTTAACAACAATAAATTTAATAATTTTTGCTTCATATTTTTTTGTAATTATTTTTTATTTTGTATGTGTTTTTTTATGGTGTGTATAAATTTCTATTCCTTTTTACTTAAAAATATGATTTTTTTAATTCAAACCTAGTTTATTTTTGTTGTTATTATGTTGTCTGTTCATTTTATTTTGTTTGATATTTTTTTTGTTATTTTGTTACGTATGTATAAATACATAAGAAATAAATTATTTTAATACATTGACAAGCATTATTTATGTTTTATACGTTTACATTACAAAAAACTCAACTTTTCCAACTTTTCCAAAAAATAAAACCCAATTTTTCAAAAATTTCAACTTTTCATGAAAAGTTGCAACCCTAGTTCTAAGAGACCCAAACTCGACAAAATCTCACCTCAGCAGAGGGGCCATGAGAACCGAGAGCCCTATGAGCAGGGCCACGCAGAAGGCGGACATCCTTTGCTCCTTCACCTCCACCAGGTAGGGTTTTTCGCCAGGGGCGTGCGTTCGGGACATCACCGTGAGCGCGGAGACGTGCGCTATGCTGCGCACCGTCGCCGCGCAGAGCCACGGCATGCCGAAGAAGCCCGACATGAGGTTTATGAGGCAGACGAGCACGATGTCGAGGTGAAAGCCGCTGCCCTTTTTTAGCTTGCGTTCCTTTTTGTCGATGATAAGTCTGTAGGAAAGAGTTGTTTTTTTTCAGATTTTTTAGGGAGCATATTTATCTTTTGTAAATTAGTATTTCAAAAACTAAAACTGGTTTTTGACATTTTAAAACATGATTCGACCATTTTAACTTCTTTGTCAATCTTTTAATAATTAGGGTTTTGAAATTTTAAATACTAAAGAATAGGATTTCTCAAGAGTCTAAGTTTGTAATAGGTTTTTTAAGAAGCATTTTCATCATTTGGAAATTGGTATTCCAAAAATTAAATAAATTAAATACTAAGAATATAATTTTTCAAGAGTCTAAGTTTGTAACAGATTTTTTAAGAAGCATTTTCATCATTTGGAAATTGGTATTCCAAAAACTAAAACTGGTTTTTAACATTCTAAAACATAATTTGACCGTTTTAACATCTTTGTCAATCTTTTAATAATTAAGTTTGTAAAATATTAAATACTAAAGAATAGGATTACTTAAGAATCTAAGTTTGTAACAGATTTTTTAAGAAGCATTTTTATCATTTGTAAATTGGTATTTTAAAAACTAAAACTGGTTTTTGACGTTCTAAAACATGATTCGACCGTTTTAACTTTTTTTGTTAATTTTTTAATAATAAAGTTTTTAATATAATGAATACTAAAGAATAATATTTGTAAAGAGTTTAAGTTTGTAACAGATTTTTGACATTCTAAAACATGATTCGACCGTTTTAACTTCTTTTTCAATCTTTTAATAATTAGGTTTGTAAAATATTAAATACTAAAGAATAGGATTCCTAAATAATCTAAGGTTGTAACAGATTTTTTTAACATTCTAAAACATGATTCGACCGTTTTAACGTTTTTGTCAATCTTTTAATAATTAGGTTTTTAAAATATTAAATACTAAAGAAAACGATTTCTTAAAAGTGTAAGTTATTTGGAAATTGGTTTTCTAAAAACTAAAACTGGTTTTTGACAATCTAAAACATGATTCGACCGTTTTAACTTTTTTGTCAATGTTTTAAAAGTTAAGTTTTTAACAGATTTTTTAAGAAGCGTTTTCATCATTTCGAAATTGGTTTTCCAAAAACTAAAACTGCTTTCTTACATTCTAAAACATGATAAAACGTTTTAACTATATTTAAAATATTAAATACTAAAGAATAGGATTACTCAAGAATCTAAGATTTTTTAAGAAGCATTTTCATCTGTAAATTTGTATTCTAAAAACTAAAACTGCGTTTTAACATTCTAAAACATGATTTGATCGTTTTAACTTCTTTGTCAATTTTTTAATAATTAAGTTTTTAAAATATAAATACTAAAGAATAGGATTTCTCAAGAGTTTAAGTTCGTAACATAATGTTTAAGAAGGATTTTAATCATTTGTAAATTGGTATTTTAAAGACTAAAACTGGTTTTTACTTTACTTTCTAAAACATTATTCGACCGTTCTAACTTCTTTGTTAATTTTTAAATAATTAAGTTTTTAAAATATTAAATACTCAAGGATTGGATTTCCCAAGTCAAAGTTTGTAACAGATTTTTTAAGAAGCATTTTCATCATTTGTAGATTGGTACTCTTAAAACTAAAACTGGTTTTTGACATTCTAAAACATTATTCAACCGTTTTAAGTTCTTTGTCAATCTTTTAATATTTAAGTTTTTAAAATATTAAATACTAAAGAATAGGATTACTCAAGATTCTAAGTTTGTAACAGATTTTTTAAGAAGCATTTTTATCATTTGTAAATTGGTATTCCAAATACTAAAACTGGTTTTTGACATTTTAAAACATGATTCGACCGTTTTAACTTTTTTGTCGACGTTTTAATAATTAAGTTATTAAAATATTAGAATAGGATTTCCCAAGAAACTAAGTTTTTAACAGATTTTTTAAGAAGCATTTTTATCATTTGTAAATTGGTATTCCAACAACTAAAACTGGTTTTTGATTTTCTAAAACATGATCCGACCGTTTTAACTTCTTTGTTAATTTTGCATTAATTGTGTTTTTAAAATATTAAATACTAAAGGGATTTCTCAATAATCCAAGATTTTTTAAGAAGCATTTTCATCATTTGTAAATTGATATTCTAAACACTATTCCTAACACTAACACTTTTTTGTCAATCTTTTAATAAATAGAGTTTTTAATATAATAAATACTAAAGAATAAGATTTGTCAAGTGTGTAAGTGTGTAACAGATTTTTTAAGAAGCACTTGTAACGTATCTTTAAGAAAGCATTTTCATATTTTGGATATTGGCATTTTAAAAACTAAAACTGGTTTTTGATATTCTAAAACATGATTTGACCGTTTTAACTTCTTTGTTAATTTTTTATTAATTAAGTTTTTAAAACTTTAAATACTAAATAATTAGATATCTCAAAAGTCCAAGTTTGTGACAGATTTTTTAAGAAGCATTTTCATCATTTGGAAATTGGTATTCCAAAAACTAAAAATGGTTTTTGACATTCTAAAACATAATTCGACCGTTTTAATTTCTTTGTCAAATTTTTATTATTTAAGTTTTTAGAATAATAAATATAGGAAAGAATAGGATTTTTCAAGAGTCTAAGTTTGTCACAGATTTTTAAAAAGCATTTTCATCATTAAATTTTGTAAATTGGTATTCCAAAAACTATAACTGGTTTTTGACATTCTAAAAGATGATTCGACCGATGATTAAAAAGCATTTTCATCATTAAATTTTGTAAATTGGTATTCCAAAAACTATAACTGGTTTTTGACATTCTAAAAGATGATTCGACCGTTTTAACTGCTATGTCAATCTTTTAATAATTAAGTTTGTAAAATATTAAATACATAGAATAGGATTTCTTAAGAGACTAAGTTTGTAACAGATTTTTTAAGAATCATTTTGATCATTTGTAAATTGATTGATTTGACCGTTTTAACATCTTTGTCAATCTTTTAATAATTAAGTTTGTAAAATATGAAATACTAAAGAATAGGATTTCTCAAGAGTCTAAGTTTGTAACAGATTTTTGAGAAGCATTTTCATCATTTGTAAATTGGTATTCCAAAAACTAAAACTGGTTTTTGACATTCTAAAACATGATTTGACCGATTTAACTTCTATGTCAATCTTTTGCAATTTGAAATTATATTTTTAACATTTCTTTAAAGTTGCACTTACTCTGTAATGTGTGTCTCCATAAACAGCAAAATATAAACCAAAAGAGCGGGAATAGCGGAAGCAAACATGACCCATACGGGAAACGGTTGGTTCCTACCGTCCGGCGATATAAACCATTCCCGTTGCTCCGGCTCCGAAGGCGACAGCCCCTGGGGAACGTTCAGTTTTTCCGTGAAAACTTCCGGAGTCATGTAATCCACGAAAACCATCATTATAATGGCGATCGGAACGCCGAAGTCGCCCAGAGCTCTTCTAGCCTAAAAAGCGAAGTTTAAAGTCTATTCGTTTAAGAGTCAATCCAAATGAAATCACCAAAAATGAATTTAAAAGTGCGCTGCATGATTTTTTATTTTAATGAAAAAATTTGAGGATGATCTTTTGGGTATCATATATGAAAAACCATTGCCGTTTTAATTTTTAGTTGCTTTATTTTTAATCGGCACCCTTTAGAAACCTGAAATCGTGTCATTTTCTTACTCTCTTATAAGAGGCTAAAACTTTTTTTCTGTGGCAATTATTGAAATGATTGTAATTTTATTTTACTGCCCAGTAAGTATGTTTTCAATATTAATTATTATTATCTAATTAGTTCATCTCATAAAAGAATGGTAAACCACTAAAGATTTGTAATAATTTGCCAATTTTTGTGATTTTTGTCTGGCTCCTGTGCCTATTCTGCTAAATCTAGAAAGTTGCTTTTTTTCAGGTATCAAGTACTTGTACAATAGAAAACGTAACTAATATTTTAAGCTTCTAGACTATCATTTTCTTTATTAAAAAAAAATTTTGAAACTTGATAATTCTTAAAATTAGTCAATTTTGCCCTCAGAAATCCTTATGTTGAGGAAAAAATAAAAATCTGAAACTTTCAGGAAATGTAGTCCCCACCTTCATCTTTTCAGTCTAGTTAGTCTTGTTTTGTTATTTTGATCCATGTAAAAGATATAATAATTTTTTTAATGCAGTTAAGAAGCGATATTGGATTATGAATTATGAAAGAAACCGACAAAAAACTGCTTAACGCATTTTATATACGTTTAAATTAACTCTTTATTAATTTCACTTATATTCTTTATGATATAAACCATAAGGATCTTGAATATATTTTTTACATTCTTCTTCTTTAAACACCAATTAGCCAATTAAATACTTCATTCAGGCCCGTTCCTGGCGAGCGTGCAGTGCGTGCACGCACGCAGGCGCAACATTTCGGGGGCGCAAAATCAAAGAGTCAATCAGTACTTTGTAAAGATAAACTTTCTTGCATATGATACTTAAACATACATTGGATAAAGGTTTCTGCCTTTTTTGCGTCGGCCGCTCTATTTTTCGGTCGCTATAAAGCGCCTTTTGCCGCTTTGATATTGGCTGCTTATTTTGTTTTGATATGAGGATCAAAATAAAAGGAGAGAAATGGTCATATTATCTTTAGTATTTGTTTGATAGTTGCAGTTAACGGTAGCACAGTAGTAACTCTCTAAAATAGAATTAGTGAAAAATGACTAATTCAATTAGTCTAATTGCAATAGCGAAAAAGCAGCGACTAATAATTATTGTCAATAGCAATTTGTATCCCGGATATTTAGCAGTCAACTCCTATGTAAAATTGTCCGCTGAATCCGAAAATGTCGTCAAAAGTTATAAAAGGAGAACGTTTTTGAGATTTAGTAAATTTTCTATATAATATGGTATTGACTATATCTTAAAAACTGCTTTACTTTTATAATTTTTGACAGTATTTTCAGATTCAGGGGACAATTTTACATAATAATAAGCTGTTAAATGCCCGGGATACAAATTGCTGTGGACTAAAGTTATTAGTTTTTTTTACTTTGAAAACTAGTCATTTTTATAGAGTACGTCACTAAAAACCAGTTGTAGTTATTATATTGTTTAGATTGTTTTTTTTTGTTTTCTTTAGAGTATTTTTATTACTGACTATTTCCCTCGTCTTAATTTCCACTAATCACAAACGCGCATTTTGAACTACAAATGGTGGAAAAACTGTATGACAGCACCTGTCGGCAGTTTTTTCGAGTTTACCCGCGGCAAAACTTGACTGCTGTTGTCACCAAAAATTGCAATTTATATTTTAATTGTTAACTGTTACTCATGAAATAGTGTTGTCAAATACCATTCGGGCATCTAACTTTTCCTGTAAAAAAATCGTTAAAACACAATGGTAAGTAATATTTTTTAACAAAATGCATTTGTGCAGGTGCAAAAATCCTCGTCTTCGACTCGGAGTTTTGTTGCCACCAGCATTCATGCTACTTGTTAAAATATTACTTAGCAACGTGTTTTTTGGATTTTTTTTCGAAAAAATAGATACATTTTCAATTACATATTGCCAGTTTGTCGCAAAATATATATTTTTTAAATTTTACGGCTTAAAATTCAAATATTTAATGTATTATATTTCAATATAAAAGGGGCGCACCAACGAATGTTGCACGCAGGCGCCAGGCACCCCAGGAACGGGCCTGACTTCATTATAATGTATATAATATACTTCATTATAATGTATATAATATATAATCATATAAATATATATATGATTATACAATACATAAAATATAACATAACTACCAAATATATCAGAACTGTCACAAATATTTCATAATTATTATTTGTGGTATTCCTTTGGTGATTTTAAAAAGTTTTGTTTATAACATAATATGACATATTATATTATATACAAAATTTACCAAACAAATACGCACAAATAATATTTATGAAATTAAAAAAATTAATATATCTTTTAAAGGAATAAAAATAACAAAACAAGACTAACTGGACTGAAAAGATGAAGGTGGGGACTACATTTCCTGAAAGTTTCAGATTTTTATTTTTTCCTCAATATAATGATTTCTGAGGGCAAAATTGGCTAATTTTGAAAATTATCAAATTTCAATAATTTTTTTAATAAAGAAAATGCAGGGCTCCCACGGCTTAATTACAAATTTTGTTTAGGAATTTAGGAGGTTTTTTGTAAAATTTTAGGAGAAATAAAGTATGGAAATGAATTTCTTTAATTAAATAAAAACTTTAAAAAAAATTAATACTTCTTTTGTAACAATAAGTTATATTTACTAGTTTTTTAGCCAAATCGCTCGACGAGTTTTTTTAAAATAAAATTAAAAGTAAGGTAAAATTACTACTTTTGTATATATCTGAGGTACATATACAAGTATAAATTTCACCACACTTTTAATTTTATTTAAAAAAATGCGTCGATAGATTTGGTTAATGCCAAAATCAAATGATGTTATCTTTATATTTTAAGAAAAAAACATATTAACCGTTTAGTTATAACTATTATAATAACTAACAGTAATTAAATCGTTAAGGTTAAGAATATTACAAGTCCAAAAGTAAAATTTTTGATAAAATATTTCAAAAAATAAGTTTTATAGTTCTAAATGCATTTTTGTTAGAATATTTTAACTATTTTATGAAATATAATATTCATATTTTGTAAAATAATTTATATCTTCTAACAAAAATGTACTTTAAACTTTAAAATTGATTTTAGAAAATAAATTGTCAAAATTAAATTTTTATTCTCACCGATTTAATTGTAATGTGGAACTTATTACTTAAAAATCTCATAACAAAATATGAAGTTTGCAAAATACAGCAAAACATTCTTTAGATTGTTTACTATTTTAGCTGTCATTTAAAATAAAATTAAAAATCCTTTTGTTTGGTATATAACACGGTATATTTTTGACTAAAAAACGAAATATTGCTAAAAATGACAATTTTGAAGAAGTTTTTATGTTCTTTTTTAAGAAAAATTATAGTTGTGATATTATATCATTTAAAAAAAAATTAATAAAATAGAACCTAAATATATATATTTTAAAATTACTTTTTAAAAAAGAATTTTTTTAGCACTACCTTAATTAAATCAGGTTGGCCTATTTAAATTTAATTTTTAGGATTTTAGGAGTTTTAGGAGATTGAAGACAATTTTAGCAGAATTTTAGGAGATTTCAAGATTTAAGCAACATTTTAGGAATTTTATGAGTTTTAGGAGGTGTGGGAGCCCTGAAAATGATAGTCTAGAAACTTAAAATAATAGTTACGTTTTCTATTGTATAAGTACTTGATACCTGAAAAAAATAACTTTCTAGATTTAGTAGAATAGGCGCAGGAGCCAGACAAAAATCACAAAAATTGTCAAATTATCATGAATCTTTAGTGGTTTACCATTCTTTTATGAGATTAACTAATTGGATAATAATAATTTATATCGAAAACACACTTACTGAACAGTAAAACGAAATTAAAATCATTTTAATATTTGTCACAGAAAAAAAGTTCTGGCCCACTATAAGAGAGTAAGAAATTGACACGATTTCAGATTTCTAAAGGGCGCCGATTAAAAGTAAAGAATCCAAAAATTAAAACGGCAACGGATTTTCATTTGGTGTTTTTATTTGGAATGACTCTTAACGAACGGAGTAAATATCCGTCTGTTAAATGATTTTTTTTTTTTTTTGATTACTTACACTTCTTCCCAAGAACTGGCTGTTCCTGAACATCTTCAGGTAGTAGGCTATGATGAAAGTGCCCAGGGTTAAGATGGTGCAGAACAGGGCCGTGTTGGCTTGATTTACGGGGCCGAAATCGTCCTGGGTTTTAACTGTCTCAGTGTTGTTATAATCCGTACCATTTTCGGCGAAAAAAAGTGTTTCCACTTCGCAGTAGTTCGAAAGTAGCGGGTGCCTGCCGTAGATGAAAATTACTTTCATGATGCTCTCGAGGATGTAGAGGAGGACGATGAGGGCGGAAAAAATGTCCTCGGTGAATCTGGTGAAGAGTTTCACGAAGACGCTGCCCTCGAGACAGGCCACCACGAGCCCTATCAGGGCCAACCAAATGCTTATGTAGACCCTGGTGGTGAGGAACTCCATGTTGTACAGCGTGCAGAATTGAAAGAGACTCTCGTCGAACAACAACAATCCCCCGGTGGTGCCTAGGGTTGGGAAAATTTAACTTTTTGCTTGTACTTGAAATTTCACTTGAAATTTTCAAGACATTTCACGGTGCTGTTCTGAGAGGTGATTTTTGTACTTTCTGTGAAACCTATTTTTTTTATATTCTTGTTAATTAGGTCATGACTAAAATTTTAAGAGCAAAATAAAAAAAATTGACGGTTAATTTTGTTTTAATTGGATGTTTATTAAAAATATGTATGCAAACTTTCAATTATCCAATTAAAACTTGCGATTTTATTTAAATATTATCATAACTTTTTAAATCAGATTAAAGATTAGTTAATTTCCTAAAAAAAGGTCTAAACATTTTTTATATCTTTTACTGTTTTGTTGTAATACACGTTTAAAGTTTTAATTTAAGGTTAAATGTATAGTATACATTTATTAAACAATAATTCTAAGGGTGCCACATTTTATTTAGGGCCGATTTATTCATTTTTGATTTAATTGACGAATAATTTCTTTGGATACTAGATATTGCCAAGACATGAAAGTTATCGGCCCGATAAACTTTACTAAAGATGAATAAACCGGTCCTTAGTTAAATTTCATGAATTTCTTTTAGTACAATTTTTCATTTTTGTTTATAAAAAACACTTTAAAACACTAAACAAAAATTATAGAATAGGTATACTGAAAATGACAATTCAAACGTCAAATAAATTTTTAATAGATCTAAGTTTCATGGCAACCTTTAAGGATATATTAATTAAGGGAACATAAATGTATACGTCAAAGGTTAGATTAAAAGTTTGAACGTTTATTGCAACAAAACAGTAAAATATATAAAAAAAATTGTAAAAACCTTTTTTTTTAGTTATGCAAATATTAAATATTTAAATTAAATCGCTAGTTTTAATTGGATAATTGAAAGAGTGCATAATATTTTTAATAAACAGCCAATTAAAACAATTCAAACCGTCAAATTTTTTTTATTTTGCTCTTAAAATTTTAGTTATGACCTAATTAACAAGAATATAAAAAAAATTAGGTTTCACAGAAAGTCCAAAAATCACCTCTCAGAACAGCACCGTGCCAGACGCTTTCTTATTGGTCGATTCGGAATCTGTTGTAAATTATTATTAAAGGTCCCAGGGGAGGCCGCATGTGAAATTTATGCGAAATTTTCAGTAAATTGCGAAACTTTCAATGAAATTTCTGAAAGTTTCACAGGCAATGTTGAAATTTTCGGATTGAAAATTTCATTTGAAATTTTTAAAAATTTCACTTTTCCAACTAAATGAAATATTTCAAGTTTGAAACTTTCAAAGTTGGAATTTTCATTTGAAAATTTCAACTGTCCCAACTAGTGTTGCAAACAAGGAAAAGTTCGGTCGAAAAGTTGGAAAAGTTATTAGGTGGGAGCCAATGAACAATGAGTTTACTTCTAACCAGTGTTTCCACTACCATAAATTTTTTTTGTTAGATAATTTGGTCAAAATTCGATATAAATCGCTAGATTTGAAGTGTTTTTAGTAAAACATGCTAAAAGCATTGTTTTTTGGAATAACATTTTGTCAAACTTTATCAAAAATGGTGTCTGCTAACAGCATTTTCTATTATATAAAGATTCTTTTATTATAACGTATTTTAAATTTATACACAGTATGAAAAAAATATTATTGTTTTTAATTATGGAAATTTGCAAGTGAAAATATAAAAGTGGAAAAGAAGAAAGTTTTCTTTTCTTTTTCTTTTTAAATTTTTACTTGTAAATTTCCATAATTTTCAACAACAATAAATTTAATAATTTTTGCTTCAAATTTTTTTGGATTTATTTTTTATTTTGTATGTGTTTTTTATGGTGTGTATAAATTTCTATTCCTTTTTACTAAAAAAATATGATTTTTTTAATTCAAAGCTAGTTTATTTTTGTTGTTATTATGTTGTCTGTTCATTTTATTTTGTTTGATATTTTTTTTTGTTATTTTGTTACGTATGTATAAATACATAAGAAATAAATTATTTTAATACATTGACAAGCATTATTTATGTTTTATACGTTTACATTACAAAAAACTCAACTTTTCCATCTTTTCCAACTTTTCCGAACTTTTCCGAAAAATAATACCCAACTTATCAAAAATTTCAACTTTTCATGAAAAGTTGCAACCCTAGTGGTGCCTATGATTAGGGTTGGGAAAATTTCACTTTTTGCTTGTACTTGAAATTTCACTTGAAATTTTCAAGACATTTATGACATTTATTAAAATTTCCTAAATGTCTAAAATTTCATGAAATTTATGAAATTTATTGAAACTTTCAATAAATTTTAATCACTTTAAGTGTAATATATTAATATTGAAATAAGCCCACTCGGTGACCATGGCAAATTGCCTCTCTTACCTCCTACCCCTCTGTGGGCCCCTGCACCAATAATATAAATAGTAAATACCTATGTTTACCGCAAATTTCTTGAGATTTCCTTTTAAAATATTTTTAAAATTACTAAAACTAAGAGAGATATAGCACTTTTTGGTAAGATTGTGCCACTTTCATTGTTTTATATTTATATATATTTATTATTTTTATATATTTTACTGAAATTTTACAAAAATTGAAGAAACTTCATCAAAATTTTTTAAACCAAATGCATTTTTTATCCGTTTTCCGATACAATTATAGCAAAAGTAAAAGTTTAAATTAATCATGACTTTAAAAAAAAATTTAAAGTCTGATTTAATTTACAAATTAAATTGGTAACTGAATAAAATTATTTAAATTAATTTATGCATACAAGTAACAATAATTACTTATAGTGTATTCAAATCCAAGCCGAACTAAACAAAAACGCCCAGACGCTTGATAACTCGTTCTTATTGGTCGATTCGGAATCTGTTGTAAATTATTATTAAAGGTCCCAGGGGAGGCCGCATGTGAAATTTATGCGAAATTTTCAGTAAATTGCGAAACTTTCAATGAAATTTTTGAAAGTTTCACAGGCAATGTTGAAATTTTCAAACTGAAAATTTCATTTGAAACTTTTAAAAATTTCACTTTTCCAACTAAATGAAATATTTCAAGTTTGAAACTTTCAAAGTTGAAATTTTCATTTGAAAATTTCAACTGTCCCAACTAGTGTTGCAAACAAGGAAAAGTTCGGTCGAAAAGTTGGAAAAGTTATTAGGTGGGAGCCAATGAACAATGAGTTGACTTCTAACCAGTGTTTCCACCACCATAAATTTTTTTTGGTAGATAATTTGGTCAAAATTCGATATAAATCGCTAGATTTGAAGTGTTTTTAGTAAAACATGCTAAAAGCATTGTTTTTTGGAATAACATTTTGTCAAACTTTATCAAAAATGGTGTCTGCTAACAGCATTTTCTATTATATAAATATTCTTTTATTAAAACGTATTTTTAATTTATACACAGTATGAAAAATATATTATTTTTTTTTTAATTATGGAAATTTGCAAGTGAAAATATAAAAGTGGAAAAGAAGAAAGTTTTCTTTCTTTTTCTTTTTAAATTTTTACTTGTAAATTTCCATAATTTTCAACAACAATAAATTTAATAATTTTTGCTTCATATTTTTTTGTAATTATTTTTTATTTCGTATGTGTTTTTTTATGGTGTGTATAAATTTCTATTCTTTTTTACTTAAAAAATATGATTTTTTTAATTCAAACCTAGTTTATTTTTGTTGTTATTATGTTGTCTATTCATTTTATTTTGTTTGTTATTTTTTTTTATTTTGTTATAAAACAACTTGTTACGTATGTAGGTATAAAAACATAAAAAAATTTAATACATTAACAAGCATTATTTATGTTTTATACGTTTACATTACAAAAAACTCAACTTTTCCATCTTTTCCAACTTTTCCGAAAAATAAAACCCAACTTTTCAAAAATTTCAACTTTTCATGAAAAGTTGCAACCCTACCTATGATGACCAGCGGTTGGCCGGCGAGCAAAGCAAAGGCCAAACCGGCCACGGAAGTGGACAGAAGCGTTTCCGGGATGCCGATCAGGTTCTGGGTCTTGTCGCCCAGCAGCCCGCCGAAGGCTATGGCGCCCGACACGGCCGCGAAGTACATGAAGATCGAGGCGGCTGCGCACTGCGCGTTAAGGCCGTCGCGCAGGTCGCTCAGGTAGTGCGGGTAGCGGCGTTTCAGGTCGTTTATCAGCCCGCCCCACGGTTTTCGGGTGCGTTCCAGGGGGTTCGGATATGGCGGCTTCTTTTCTCCTGCAAAGTTAATGCAATGCTAGAAACGAGGTTATTTTTTGTTAAAGTAGAATTAGGTTTTTTTTATTCCTTAAAAAACGTTTTAAAAATACCCACTATAAAAATGGTAAACAATTACTTAGAAATTTATTGAAACCTGTAAAACCAATAAAAGTATATCGGGTTAAATTAGAATTTACTGAAGATTTTGAAAATATTGAAAATTTAATTGTAGAATTTACTGTTACTAAAGATTTTGAAAACATAGAAAATTTTCAAAAAATTCGATTTTTTGAAAAAAATTGAAATATTGTAATTATTGAAAAATTTGCAATTTAAAATTTTTAAAGTTTTTATAAACTATTATTTATAAATTTGTTGTAAACCTGCAAAAGCAACAAAAATATATCAGGCAAAATTAGAATTCACTGAAGACTAAAGATTTTAAAAATATTAAAAATTTTAAAAAATTCCGAAATTTTGACAATTTATGAAAATTCCATGATTGGAATATTGAAATTTAGAATTTATTTATAAAAATTTTTGACATTTTTAAAGTTCGCTAAAAATTTTTAAAAGTATTTATTTTATCCTAAAAAGGGTTTAATTAGAATTTACTGAAAATTTTGAAAATATTGAATTTTTTCAAAAATTTCGAATCAAAAAATTGTGATTATTGAAAAATTTGCAATTTAAAAATTGTAAAGCTTTTATCAAAATTTTTTTTTTTTAGAAATTTGTTGAAAACCTGCAAAACCAACAAAAAAATATCGGGTAAAATTAGAATTCACTGAAGACTAAACATTTTAAAAATATCTAAATTTTGACAATTTGTGAAAATTTGATGATTGGACTATTGAAATTCAGAATTTAGTTACTGAAGACTGATGATTATAAAATATTGCAAATTATCAAATAATTTAAATTTTTAGAAATTTAAAAAAAATTATAAATATTTTAGTTTTAAAATTATGTATTGCAAATTTTGAAATTTTTTACATTTTTAAAGTTTGCTAAAAAAATTTAAAAGTACTTATTTTATCCTAAAAATGGTAAACAATTATTTATAAATTGATTGAAACCTGCAAAACCAATAAAAGTAATACTACTAGGGTGGAGCGAAAAAAATTTTTTTTTTCCTTAGCCTGGGGGTGGAATTTGTAGCCTATAAAAAAAGAAAATTAAAAAAAAAATAAAATTTTTTACTCAACGTCTTGAGGTGGCCCACTGATTTTTTTAAATTAAATTTAAGTTGAAAACGAGTGGTCGTAATTTTTTTTTCAAAAGTGTTCCAGAAACTGCGGAGTTTCCTAATTCTTGCTAATTAACAGTTATGAACTTAAAAAAAAAGTTGTGGTCATTATTGTTGTTTTTAAAAAAATTCTAAAATAGTAACATGCTTTTCTGAGACAATAGAGCGAATTTCGAGTTGAACACGATCAAATTTGTTTATTTTTAGATAAATTTGAAGATAACAACAAAAAAAAAAAATTTTTTTATTCAAAAGAATTTTAACTTAAATTTAATTTAAAAAATCAGTGGGCCACCTCAAGACGTTGAGTAAAAATTTTTTTTTTTCAAAAATTTTCTTTTTTTATAAGCTACAAATTCCACCCCTAGGCTAAGGAAAACGCTCCACCCTAAAAAGTATATTGAAATGTTTAAAAAAAATCGAATTATTGCGAAAAATTGAAATAATGAAATTATTGAAAAAAATGCAATATAAAAAGTTTTTATAATAAAAATTGTAAACAATTATTTAGAAATTTGTTGTAAACCTGCAAAACCAATAAAAAAATATCGGTTAATATAAGAATTTACTGTTACTGTTTCTGAAGATTTTGAAAATTTTAAAAAATTTCCGAAATTTTGCGAAAATTTGATAATTGAAATCTATTAAAATTATTGAAAATTTTAAAGTTTTTATTCTAAAAATTGTAAATCTTCAAAACCAACAAAAAATATCGGGTTAAATTAAAATATACTGAAGATTTTGAAAATATTAAAAATTTTATTATTTTCGAAACTTTGAAATATTCGATAATTAAATTATAAAAATTATTGCAAATTTTATAAAGTTTTTATCCTAAAAATGGTAAACAATTATATGGAAATTTATTGTAAACCTGCAAAACCATAACAAAATTACCGATTGAATTAGAATTTAATATCGAAGACTGATGATTTTGAAAATACGTATTGCAAATTTTTGTAAATTGGCGAAATTTTGAAAATTTTAAATTTTGTTGAGATTAAAATTTTGTATTTGAAAATTTTAAAAAGTTTTAAAAGTACTTATGCACAGCCACTCTTTTTATCCTAAAAATGGTAAACAATTATTTAGAATTTTATTTTAAACCTGCAAAACCAACAAAAAAATATCCGTTTGAATTAAAATATATTGTTGTCAAATTTTTGAAAAATTGTTAATTTTGTAATTATTGAAATTATGTATTAAACAGCTACTTATTTTATCCTAAAAATTGTAAACAAAAATTTCTAAATATTTTTTGTAAACCTGTAAAATCAATAAAAAAAATTAGAAGTTACTATATCTGAAGATTTTGAAAATATTGAAAATTGAAAAAATTTCGAATTTTTGCAAAAAGTTGATAATTGAAATAATTAAATTATTGGTAAACAATTATTTAGAAATTTGTTGTAAACCTGCAAAACCAACAACAAAATATCGGCTTAAATTAGAATTTACCGAAGACTAAAAATATATATATTTTTTAAATTTTCAAAAATTTGATCATTGAAATATTGTTTTTATTCTAAAAATGGTAAACAATTATTTAGAAATTGATTGTAAACCTGCAAAACCAACAACAAAAATATCGGGTTTAATTAGAATTTAATACTGAAAATTTGATAATTGAAATATTGAAATTATTGAAAATTTTAAAGGTTTTATTGTAATTTACGTAAACAATTATTTAGAAATTTATTTTAAACCTGCAAAACCATAAAAAAATATCCGGTTGAATTAGAATTTACTATTACTAGGTATTAAGATTTTAATGATTTTAAAAATATTGCAAAATTTAAAAAATTTAGTGAAGTTTTGCATTTTTGTTAATATTGAAATTCTGTATTGTAAATTTTTCAATTTTTTCCATTTTGAAAATTTGAGAATTATTGAAAATTTCAAAATTCTTAACATTAAAATTATGTTTAGCAATTTTGAAATTTTAAAAGTACTTATGCACAGCCACTCATATTGCAAATTTTTTAAAATTTTGAAAAGAAGAAATTTATTTAAAACCTGCAAAATCAATAAAAAAATTACCCGGTTAAATAATTTAACAGTAACAGTACATTCTAATTGAACTTAAATTAGAATTTACTGTTACTTGACTGAATGAAGACTTTTGAAATATTTTTTAAAATTCTGATATTTTTTAAATTTTGTAAATTTGCGAAAATTTAATAATTGATAATTAAATCGCAATTTTTTTTTTTTTTAAATTTTGTAAATATTGAAATTATTGAAAATGTTGCAATTTAGTACATTTTAAAAAGTTTTAAAAGTTCTTATTTATGCACAGCCACTAATTTTATCCTAAAAATGGTAAACAATAATTATTATTTATAAATCTATTTATAAACCTTCAAAACCAACAAAAAAATAACCCCCATTATATTTCTTTACAACTCAATATTTTTAAAGAAACCTGCATACAAACTCACCATCTTGCGTAATCAACGGCTTGGTTATCCCTCTCGCCTCATCGGCTTTTTGCAGAGCGTTCTCTTTCCGCCGCCTTATGGCGTCGCTTTTAGCCTTGATTTCTTCGATCGGCAGCAGCGCCTGCCGCTCCCAGTCGCCAGGTGGCAGCACTATACTGTCGTCCAGAAACTCGTTGATGGCCGAGAGCAGCGCCTTGCGGTTGTTCGCGCCGTAAGCGATGTTGTGAAACTGCTGGTTCGCCATCAGAGTCGAAATGGACCTAAGAAATTGTTAAAAAAATATTAGAAATATTCCCCAACACCAAAACAAAACACAAAGTGCTTAAAGTACTCAGAGCTGGGAGTATCTTGAAAAAAAGATACTTAAAAGTAACATAGATACTTAAAGTATCTAAGATACTTTATAGTAAACAGAAATTATCTTTAACTTAGTTACTTTGGAAAAGTATCTTGTAACTTGTATCTTAAAAAGTATGTAAGTTACTCGGTAAAGTAACTAAGATACATTCAAGTAACTTAGATACTTTAAAGTAACTAAGATACTTTTTAAAGTAACTAAGATACTTTTTAAAGTAACTTAGATACTTTTCACTGTAACCTAGATACTTTCTTAGAGAAAATTGGGGGAATTCCAGAATAATTCAAAGTAATTACCCAACCTACAACTTGTAGAATTTTTATAATTTTATAGTTTTTATTCAAACTTAAAAGCAGGGACCAAATGAAATAACGGTTACGGTTCCAAAAAATATTTCTGTCCGGTTCGGACCAATCTTTTCGGTCCATACGGTTTTTTTCGGTTCAAATTTTTTTATCATGTAATTAAATTACTTTGTCTAATCTTTTTTTCAAATCAGGTTTAGGCTCTTTATTATCTTTTTTTTTTACTTTTATTCTCGATCTGCTTGCTAACTTTATCTTTTTCTTCTGATCTTGCGATTGAAAAACTGGAAAATTTATATTTAAAATAAGTTTCTATCCAAAAATTCTGTTCTCACAAATAATTGTTCCTCTAATTTTTTGATCTTGTTGGGGGAAGTAAAAATTTGTGACCAGAAAACAGCCTTTTAACGCTTACTTACTTGTGTTGCAGGTGTCATTAGTTTACATAATACTAGGCAACACTAATTAATAAATCTTCACTACAAATGCACCTACCACCCATGCTAGCCATTTTAATAAATCAGTCTTCAACCTATAGGTATACTCTGGTATTATTTACTTCATGGCGCAGTTGGTAGGATATTTTGTAGTGGGGGTTTATTAATTACAGTATTATATAATATATATGTGTACATATGACATCTTTCTTTTTCCAATAAAGTTATTTTACTTTACATTTACAATAATTATTTATACAACATTTACAATTGGTATTAAGACAGCAGGAACGCTAACAATACTTGTGCTAGATTGTATAATTTATACATTTATAGCCCGTGCTCAAATATTTTTTTGCAAAAACTAATATATATATTTTTTTAACGAAACAATTTTTTTTTAATTTTAGCAAAAAGAATTTAAGAAAAAACCCAAAATAACCTTAAAAACCGTTTTAAATTTAAAGGGTTCGGGTTCCGTTTCTAGAGTTACGTTTAAAAATAATATGGGTTCGGTTACGGTTCCGGTCCACAAATAAATACCGGTTCGGTCCGGTTTTCTGTCCAAAAACGGTCCGGTCCGGGTCCCAGCTTAAAAACTACTCAAAAGTATCTTAGTTACTTAAAAGTATCTTAGTCACTCAAAAGTATCTCAGATACTTTAATTAGAAAAGTAACTTTTCAGAAGTAACTTTCCCAGCTCTGAAAGTACTTTTCGCCAACTCAGTTACACTTTGCTTCTAAAGATGTCAACATCGTTGGAGAAAAATACTTTAAGCACTTGTGTTTTGTTTTGGTGTTGGGGAATATTTATAATATCACCAAACTTGTCCTTTTTTAAGTACCAAGAAATTGTGTTTTCCAAAGTTATTGTGTCAAAATCAGGAATTTCACAATAACTTTTCTTTCATTCTCACCTTCCCACCTCGTGGTAGTCGATGTTGGCCAACTTGGGCCCCAGCAGGATGAAAATGAACCTCACGGGAATGTTGACTTCGATCAGGGAAGGTATGACCACCCCTTCGGCCAGTCTGACGAACGCTATGGCGGGTTGCTCGAGAAAATCGACCTCTCCCACGAGGACGGAGGAACCCTGGGCACCCGCGGGAATCTTCCGCAGGATCGTGTCGTTGTGCGCCCTCCTGACGTCCTCGTTGCTGGTGGCGTACGTTTCCTCCTTTATCTCCACCGCGGTGAAGTTTTCCGCGTCGCCGTTCTTCAGCAGGTTCTCCAGGATGGGGTAGCTGATTTTGCGCTTGTCTGCGTCGTAGAGGTTCTGTGGAAAATCGGGGAATGTAGGTTTCTCCCATAAAAGTTTTTTTTCCGAAGATCGAAGAAAACAAACAATATTTAGGGGTTACTAGCAATAAGAATAAGTGTTAAAGTACAAACAAAAAATATATAAAAATTTCAAAACTTTAAATAACTAGATAGTTAAATAACAAAAAATAATTACATAGCATTAACAGGGCTCCCACGGCTAAATTTCAAATTTTATTTAGGAATTTCTGCAATTAAATAAAAACAACTGTACACTACTTAAAAAATAAGAAAAACATTTTTTTAACAATAATATAAATCAATATAACTTCTTTTGTAAAATACATTGACTAGTGACTAGTAGATGATGAAAAAAAAATGTTAAGCGTTAAGTTAATAACTAACAATAATTGAATTACAATGTGGATCTTGATACTCAAAAATATCATAATAAAAAATATGAAGTTTTCTTACTATATACTTGGATTGTTGAAGAAAATGAAAAAAAATCCTTGTTTGATATACATGATGAATTTCAATCGCAAATAACTTTTTTATTTGATGTCGGATTTAAAGGAATATTAAAGAATATTGTAGATAAATTAATGGACAATCGCTCACATTTTAAAAAATTACTAAAAAATAGACGTACGTTTATAATATACAGGTTTAAACAAAAAGATGTTTTTTACCATATTTTACCATAAGTTTAAGACACTCTGTAGAGTGGCAAAACCGTATATTGTTCTAAATTAAGTTTTATTTATCAAGTCACATCAATTCTTAACAGTTTTGTTTTTGGTTCACCTCGATATATTTATTTTTGTGGAAAATATGGTTTTTTTTAAAAACATTGCAATTTCCAATATTTTTCTGTATGAAGAACTAAGGTTGCTATGGTCCATCCATAGGCTATGAAGAATGACAGTGACAGTTTTGTTGAATCATCCCATACTTGGACATGTCATACACGGCTTTCAAAAGCTATCAAATTGTTTTTTGCAAATTAATGTTTAAATTTTGAGGTGTCTTCTTACTTTATAAAATGGATATGTCTCCGACTGATGTTGCCAGAGCTATTAATTTAATCCAGGATGGACGGTCACAGTATTACGTGGCAAGTGTTTTAAACGTCATAAGAAGTCAGTCGGAGACATTTTTAAAAGTAAGAAGACACCTCAAAATTAACGCATTAATTTACAAAAAACAATTTGATAGCTTTTGAAAGCTGTATATGACATGTCCAAGTATGGGATGATTCAACAAAACTGTCACTGTCATTCTCCATAGGCTATGGATGGACCATAGCAACCTTTCCACAAAAATAAATATATCGAGGTAAACCAAAAACAAAACTGTTAAGAATAGATGTGACTTGATAAATAAAACTTAATTTAGAACAATATACGGTTTTGCCACTCTACAGAGTGTCTTAAACTTATGGTAAAATACATATTTTTGTTTAAACCTGTATATTATAAACGTACGTCTATTTTTTAGTATTTTTTTAAAATGTGAGAGATTGTCCATTAATTTATCTACAATATTCTTTAATATTCGTTTAAATCCGACATCAAATAAAAAAGTTATTTGCGATTGAAATTCATCATGTATATCAAACAAGGATTTTTTTTTCATTTTCTTCAACAATCCAAGTATATAGTAAGAAAACTTCATATTTTTTTATTATGATATTTTTGAGTATCAAGATCCACATTGTAATTCAATTATTGTTAGTTATTAACTTAACGCTTAACATTTTTTTTTCATCGAAAATTTGTGTGGATCGATTATTTTGCACGTGAGTGTATAACACGGTATATTTATGTCGAAAACAAACGAAATATGGCTAAAAATAACAATTTTGTAGAAGTCTGGGAGTTACTACATGGATTTTATTTAGTTATATTTTGTTGTTTTTTAAGAAAAATGTAGGTTGTAATATATCATTTAAAAAAAAAAATTAATAAACTGGAACCTAAAAATATATTTATTTAAAATTAAATTTTAAAAAAGATTTTTTTTAGCACAACTACCTTAATTAAACGCAGTCAGGTTTGCCAGGTTAGTGAAATTTTAGGAGTTTTTAAGATTTAAGCCAAATTTTAGTAATTTTAGTAGGTGTGAGAGCCCTGCATTAATAACTTGTGAAGAATTTTACACAAATTGTTCCAATAAGAGTTTCCTACGCAATTTATTGGTGATATACTTTTTTCTGCATTTTTAACAAAATTCAGAAACTCCTATTAAACAACCTTTAAATAAGTCAAAAAACTGAAATAAAAAAATCTTTCCTGAAAAAATATATTAAAATTTTTTGAGACAACATTTTTTCTACAAGCAAGGGGAGCTGGCAATTTTCTTTTCATTTTTAACTTTCAACATTTTTTCTACAAGCGTGCGGAAAGTTGCTACTTATGTTTTTATATTGAATTATTTAAGGAATATGTTTTGTTTTTTAGTTTGAACTTCAACTTAAGTATAACTTTGCGCATGCGAGAAGAAAAAAAAATATTTATTTTGTAAAATAGTTGATAATATCTTCTCACAAAAATCCATTATGCAATTATTTTCTCAATTAAATAAAATGAATACTTTTTTAAAACCAAACAATTTTTATTAATTCTTTGATAAAATAATTTCAAAACGTATTATTTTTTATTTATTTCAATACAAAAAATTGTGAAAATTTTTATTCAGGAATTGTTCTTGTGTTAACACTTAAGTGATATTTTCATTTACATACAAAATATCATAGGATATCATAAAAAATAAATCGAATTAAAAATATCTCCTATAATATTTTACATACATTTAAAAAATTCTCCTATGATATTTTTAATTTAGCGAATTTTTAATATTTTTATGTTTTACAAAAATAAACAGAAAATATTTTAAATTAACTAAATAAAAAATATCAGTTTGGCATAAAAATTAAATTTAATTTTAAATAAAGCGAATTAAAAATGTGTTTAACAAAAAAATAAAAATATAATAAACATATATTTTAAATTAAAAAAGTTTGGCATAAAAATTAAATCTAATTTTAAAATATCTGATATTATTAATTCGCAAAAAAATTCTTAGGTGATATTTTTTATGTAATTGAAAATATCACTCTTGTGTTAACAGATAAAAATAATTCCTGAATAAAAAATAAAACGGCGCCCCATACAAAAGTGCATCTCAAAAAAGTTTATTAATTACTTCCTAGAGTCTAGGGTCTAGACTTAATTTCCCAAACAAAAAATGCTAAGAAACCCTGTTCTTAGTGATATTTGTGTAGCCTAAACATCTACATAACATCTAAGCACACCAAACAACAATGCAAACTGAATCTACACAAATAAACATCAAAATGTGTCGGATGCACGCAATGCGAATGCAACAAGTGGTGGTGCAAGTGTGATGCAGCGTTGCCACGCCATCAAATCATGGCAACACTGCGGTGGTTTGTCGAAAACATTTCGATTGACAGTATGGTTTTTGTGGTGGTCGGGGAGGGGTGGAAAATAAACTGGGGAAAAAATCATTCAGAGTTTAAATTATTACGTGTGGGTAAGAAGAGAGGCGGGGCAGGGCGTGTGGGGCGCACAGGGACCCCTGCGCAGAACACACGGAGCACCGGGCCATCATCACCGCGTCGTAGCTGACTCCGTCTTCCAACCACAGCGACTGCAATCACCAGGTACAGGTTTCGTTTTTGCATTTTTTGCTGCCGATCGCGGTACACAAAAACCGCTAAGCTGGTTATGAAACGAAAACTCGTCGACTTCGCGCATGTGACGTCACGTGCGAACCAGATTCAAACGTTACAACATAGGCATACACCTAGGGTTGGGAAAATTTCACTTTTTGCTTGTACTTGAAATTTCACTTGAAATTTTCATGACATTTATGAAATTTATTAAAATTTCATTAATTTCTGAAATTTCATGAAATTTATGAAATTTATTGAAACCAATAATATTAAATACCTATGTTTACCACAAATTTCTTGAGATTTCCTTTTAAAATATTTTTAAAATTACTAAAACTAAGAGAGATATAGCACTTTTTGGTAAGCTAATGAGATTGTGCCACTTTCATTGTTTTATATTTATATATATTTTTTATTTTTATATATTTTACTGAAATTTTACAAAAATTGAAGACTTCATCAAAATTTTATGAGCCAAAGGCATTTTTTATCCGTTTTCCGATGCAATTATAGCAAAAGTAAAAGTTTAAATTAATCATGACTTTTAAAAAAATTTTAAGTCTGATTTAATTTACAAATTAAATTGGTAACTGAATTAAATTATTTAAATTAATTTATGCATATAATGTCATTATAATAATGAACAATAATTACTTATAGTGTATTCAAATCCAAGCCGAACTAAACAAAAACGCCCCGACGCTTGATAACTCGTTCTTATTGGTCGATTCGGAATCTGTTGTAAATTATTATTAAAGGTCCCAGGGGAGGCCACATGTGAAATTTATGCGAAATTTTCAGTAAATTGCGAAACTTTCCATAAAATTTCTGAAACTTTCACAGGCAATGTTAAAATTTTCTGATTGAAAATTTCATTTGAAATTTTTAAAAATTTCACTTTTCCAACTAAATGAAATATTTCAAGTTTGAAACTTTCAAAGTTGAAATTTTCATTTGAAAATTTCAACTGTCCCAACCCTACATACACTAGACTGGGCCAAAAAAATCAACTATTTTTTTTTTGAAAAGTATATCGAAAATATGGTTTGGGGTGACAAAAACAATTATTGTGAAAGTTTGAGTCCATAATATTAATATTAAAAGGTCTATAATCGCAATTTAAATTTTTTGTTTCCTCTGCAAGTTTTTGTCTCAGAACTCCCAAACCATTGAGTTTAACAAAATCTACTTAAAAATATTTTTTTTTATGAAAATTAAATTCTCTACAAAAAAGGTTAAATGAAATTTTTCGTCAGATGAACCGTTTCCTTAAAATCATGCCCTAAACATTGGTATAGTTTTACATTTTGATCTTTTAACTTTGGAATTTTGAAATTCATGTAAAAATCAGTACCCATAAAAAAACCAATAAATATTCTTATGTGAAATCAAATGCTTTACAAAAAAAGCCTCTTAAAATTTTTGGCTAAATTCGCTCAATCAAAAGTTATTCAAGGTTAAAGTTGAAGTCAAAACGAAATTCTTGTCAAATTTAACCTTGAATAAATATATATACAAAAAAATTATTGTGAAAGTTTGAGTCCATAATATTAATATTAAAAGGTCTATAATAGCAATTTAAATTTTTTTTCCTCAGCAAGTTTTTGTCTCAGAACTCCCAAACTATTGAGTTTAACAAAATTGACTCAGAAATATTTTTTTAAGAAAATTAAATGCTCTACAAAACATGTTAAATGAAATTTTTCGTCAGATGAACCGTTTCCTTAAAATAATGCCTTAAAAATTGGTATAGTTTTACATTTTGATCTTTTAACTTTGGAATTTTGTAATTCAAGTAAAAATCAGTACCCAGAAAAAAAAACGATGAATATTCTTATGGTAAATGCTTTTTTATAATTTTGTTACCTTTCACATTAAAAAAATGTAAAATTCGATCTAGCGTAAGTGAAGTTAATTCAATTAAATAAAAAATATTTTGAAAAATAATAATAGAAGGGTAGGATAAAATATGTTACATTATTATTAAAAGGGTTTTCTGCCAATTTAACTTTCTCTTAACATTTGTTACACCTAATAATTGCACCCAGGCCATACCCATATTAATAAATTTTCAAATATAAAGTGAATTTGCAGTGCAAATAACATTCCAACCCAGTTACCCGCCAGCTTTTGGTTCGCACATGACGTCACACGGTGCGAGAGAGATAGCTGCAACATGCGCATCAGCATACCGGTTTTTGTGTATCGTGCTGCTGATTTGTATAGTAGGGTGAATAAAAAAAATCGAATATTTTTTTTAAATCCGACACTAAAAAATTGGTTCTTAGTCACCGAAAAACTTACACTAGGTATATTCCTACCGAGCTTTTGAACTGTCTAATGAACGTCAGGGACATGCGCAATGGTAAAATCGCGGCAAGTTTTTAGTATTGCGTCCAAAAGCTTGGCAGAAAAAACATATTAAAACTTTCTGAGTTTAGTTTAGTCGGATTGACTTTGTGCGAAAAAAAATTCGTGACTCTAAACTAGCTTTAGCTTTTAAGCCATTTTCGACAAGAAAAAAATCCTTAAAAAATATTTTTTCTCGTCAAAAGACTTTGAAAACACTGATCTAAATAACGTAATTTTCCATTTAGAAGTTAAAAATAACCCACCTTTACAAGGTCATTTTTCTCCCAAAGCTGCACTGTAGCTACTTAACTTATTCAGTATTTACCTAAACGTCGCACACTGGTACAAATCGACTCAATTTTCTGCCAAAACTCGAAAAGTGAATATAATATTGTGAAAATTGGTAAGTTAAGTCAAAATTATCAAATTTAAAATAGCGGACTTCTCCTTTTAAATTAATAGTTGTTATTTTAATTTAAAGAAGTAAATTGTTTTTATATTTTAAAGAAATCAACTTTTACTTAAACAGAGTACTTAAATGCATTTTAATACCAGTTAAGTTCTTTGTTTTTAATATACATAAATTTTAATAAACTTGTTTTTTTAATAATGTCATTTATTCTTTTTAAATATGTTATTATAAATTAAATAATATTATTTTTAAATGTAATAAAAAAATCAAACAATTATACGCTAAAGAAGTATCGGGTTTTCGCAACGCGCGCGCCATCTGGTGGACTTCAAAAGCATTGCGTGAATTTAAGAATTGCCAACAATACATTTAAAGCATACGAACTGTACATCATTTTTAAATAAATAGGTAGTTTTTTCACAAAAGGGAGGAAGGCAGAAATCTTACTCGACAAATTTTGTTCAACTGCACAGCTAAATCGCGCACGTTATTTGTGTTTTACGTTGCAAGGAAAAAACTAAATAACTGGTTTAGTACGATTTCGATTGATTATATCATTGATTAAGAAACTCAACGCTTAAATGCTTATACGTTACGTTACGTTAGTGTGTATTTTATCTAAGGGATCATGGTGAATTATTGTGTTTTTAATTGTAAATTCAAGAACTAAATCATTGTATTTTCATGTTTTGCCAAAGGATCCAATTCGGTAAGAACATTTGCTGGTGCAGAATTAACTAATGTTAACTTTACTTAATATAATTTATATTTAGGTTTGGACATTTTTGCACAAACATAACCTTAAAATCAACCATTTTTATATTTGAGTTCTCTAAAAAAGGCCGACAACTGCTTTTTAAACAATAAAATATACCTACGCATTCATGGCAACATACTATTATATATAATACATAATATAATGGTATTTTACCGTTGATTGGAGACTTTAAAGAATTCTTAATCAACGCTAAATGCTGTTTAAATTTAGACGAATTATTTGTTTGACGATTATTACTGAATAAAATGTTTAGACTTTTCACGTTAATCAATACTAAAATGTGTATTTATTGTATCTAATAGATACAATTTATATTTAAAAGGACTCAACCCAGGATTTCCTCTCGAAATACACAAAACAACACAAAAAATCGTGCCACGGTTTTTTTTCGATATTTTTTATAATTTTCCGGCTTTATTCTCAAAAACAGTCGTTTGTAACACACTCGTTTGACAGCTGATTATTAAAATTTGTACATTTGTTACGATGATAACAGCCGAGTGGTGGCGCTACTAGCGATACTTCTTTAGCGTATTATTTCTTGAATAAAAACATCTTTTATCGCACAGAAAAAAATCTAACATAGTACGAAGAACAGCGCTGTCATTAAATGCATTCAAATTGAAGCAATCTAAATTGTTATTTGCTTAATTAATTACTATTAAACCAAAATAGGGAAATATTTTGCCTAAATGTCAAGGATTTTATTAAGTTAAATGTATACATAGTATACATACAATAGTAACGTTATTAAATAAATCAAATTAGTATTTAATGCAATAACATTCTAACATTCTAACAAATAAATATCAATATGAATATCAATAGATTTAGGAGCGATAACTTTTGTTATTAATTTAAAAACAGTAAACGATTATAAACCAAGTGCTAACTACCTACTGGTATTATAGGAACTGTTATTCAGGAATACGGATTACAAAATCCCATTGGTTTAATGGCTCACCCATTCATGCTATGCTAGTGTTAATTTTTGTAAAATTTTATATGCAGTAAAAAGATTTTTATATGTAGTGCAAAGATTAATAAATTATTTGCAAAAAGAACCCAACTCAGAGCCTATATGTATAACTTTTAACAAAGAAAATTTATCGAAATTGTAATTTTATCAAATTATTATACAGGGTGTTTCATAATATATGCGCAGGACTTCATGATGTGATAGCTCATCCAAAAAGATGAAAAAAGTCGCTATTAACTTACCCTCTAAAATGCACAATTTTCGAGATACAGGGTGTTGAAATTTTAGAAAAAAAATCGTTTTTTTCGAATATCTCCGGAACCGTTTATCGTACAAAAAACAGCTTTTGTAAGCATTTTCTACTCTTAATAAGCTATATTTTGAGCCAGAAAAAATTTTTTTTTACTCATAATTTGTGGAGATTTTGAAGGGGTAGCGGGTGTTTTTCTCCCCAACTTCTACGCCCCTGAAAAAAGTACGGTTTTGAGAAGCCCATTCGAACCGCCAATATTTTATACAAAAAAGTTGACCGTTTTCGAGAAAAATCAACGTTTATGTTTAAAAACATGGTCAATTTTTTGAAAAATTTTTTTTTTACCAATTATACAAAATTTATTTTAACGTTAGAACAAGTAACAAAACCAAACGATAATTGCAAAATTAAAAAAAAAATAAAAAATGATTTTTTACACAAATGCTGCTGTCCTGCGCATATATTATGAAACACCCTGTATACCTTCATAAAAATTTTCCATTTTGAACTGTTAAAATTGAACACAGAACTGTTTAAATATGTGTTTTAAAAATTTCAAACATGCCTTTACATGAGCGAATTTAAAAAATAACACAATTATTAAGTTTATTTTTATGGTTTTGGCCAAGTTCAGGCCCGATTTGGTCTAGTGTGCGTCGTGATAAAAAAGTCCAAAACCTTTTTTCAATAATGACATTTCTTGGAAAATTACGTAATTCAGAATTGCTGCAAATGGCATGTGGATGAAAATGAAAGCGAGATAAAGAACAATGATTTAATTTACAAGTGATAACTAATATTTTCTTTTTTATTGTATTGGATATTGTAGACTTCAAGTTACTTTCTTGTATGTATATTAAAAAACTTTAACAAAAGATCATAAATCAAAAAATTATATTGTATCATAAATCTTTTTGACAAGGGTTTATTTAAGCTTCTAAAATATTAAATTATAATCATCAAAATATGGAAGGCGTACAATAATGAAACTATGAAAAGCAACATAAAAAAATACTAACAAATTATAACTTACTTGTAAAGACGTATAGCTCTGCTTCTTAGGAAACCTGAAACCCCTCTCATGATGTTCATTGACGTGCCTGTGCCTCAACAAAAGTGCCCTGATAATCTTCCCCTTATCTTCCTCCCTGATAAACTCTTCACGAAATAATTCCTCGGTTACACGATACGCCACTGCCGGTAAATCTCTTTCCTCCATATCCAGAAGCACCTAACCTCACGATCAGGATTACGATTTTTCTTCACGTAATTTTAGTCAACTTACCACGCCATCTTCAAGGCACTTCCTCAAGTTCAGGAGGCTGTGAAAACTCAAGGAGGCCACGTGGGGTTTCCCCCACCTATCCACGCCTTCCTCGACGTCTTCCTCGTATTTGATCCATCGCGCTGTCTCTTTCCATTCGCGTTCGTCGACTGTTGTGAACAGCTCGTCCAATTCAACGAATATCTAGACGAAAAAAAAAAGGTTTTATTTTGGTTAAAATGATCCTAACCTGTGCAGCAGAGGCAATGACTATGACAAGCAAAGAAGAAGAAGATGCCCTGTTGTAAATGAGCGATTAATTCCTGTAGAAAGCAATTGAAGTATTGGTTGGTATCAATGGGTCTAAATGGGGTAGTTAAATTTTTTCTGACCTATAGTTTTTATGGTTTTATTCAAGGCGTTTTGTAATTTTAAACATTTCTGTGAAATCGGTATTTCAATTGAGTTTACCGTTTTCGAGATATTTACAAAAAAAAATCTCCTAATTACGTCACTAGGCTATTGACAACGTTGCCAGCTTTTTCTATGGTTGCCAGTGTGTTTAGTTTAAGATTCTTACGATAGATGGCGCCACGTTATAGTATTTTAGTTTTAAAACCACTTGATCTATAATTTTAGTTGAGAAGAAGAAGAAGAATTGAGTTTTTGACGTTTCTTTTTTTCGGATTAGGTTTTTTTTAAATTTAGATTATTGAAAATCAATGTTATTGTTATGTTATTTGTAATTGATATTAGATAAGTGATTTATTAATAACGGACTCCAAAGCAGAGGAATCTTGTGGAATGGTTGGTTAGTACCTATAATTATAATCATATTTTGTCGTAAATGCATTTCATTAGTATAATGCCTAGTTCTTTATATTCTTTTAGATATATCTTGGACTCTAAAATATCAAACAGTAATATGATACCTTGTAATAAGGAAGATAGGTACTTAATGAATTTGGTGACCATCTTTCACTCAACTCTACAGTGACAGTATTTGTACATAACCTCTTCGGGTATTTTCTGACATAACCGAATGAAATCATTAACAAGACAACTTGACAACAGGGTAATTTTCAACCAATAGAAATCTTAGAATGTTGGTCACATGGCGAGGTTTGTGACGTCATAAAAATTTATATTTTTTGTAAATATCTCGAAAACGGTAAACTCAATTGAAATTCTGATTTCACAGAAATGTTTAATATTACAAAACGCCTTGAATAAAACCATATAAAGTATAGGTCAGAAAAAATTTAACTACCCCATTGGTCTTACTGGATTTAATTGGGCGCGATATAAAACAGAAATTGGTTTTTACTGGTATTTTCCATAATGGAAAAGTCCAATTAGGATTCTAATGGTTTTTATTGGTTTCGATTGGATAAAGCTACCTATAGGTAATTTCCAATTGAATTCAATTGGGCATTCCCAGTGTAAGATTCGAAAAATCTGCTAATTGGTTATTCCCAATACAATACAAATATCGCAAGAGTAGCTGCGCAAAATCAACGAGGTTGAGACGCCATCATAAAGAAATACAACAACAAGTCTTTGGACGCCATTTATTAGCGGTTCTTTTTATTAGTCGATTTCAGTGTTAAGTGCCTAGTCTTAGTAGTGTACTTATATATTAAAAAAATGTTTATATGTGTAAGGTTTAGGGACGATGACGTAAGAATTTCACAGCGGACAAAATAAAAAAATTTGATATAAACAATATCGACTTCTACCATGCCTTCAAACATCCTTTGCAAGAAAGACAAAAAAATGATTATAACCGAGTAATTTAATTTATTTTGTATTACTTTTTTTCTGATAGTAAGTTATATGTATCAAAACATATATCACAAAAAAAATAACAAAGAAATAAAATTACTCAGTAACAATAAATTTTTTGTCTCTTCTGTGAAAAATGAATTCTGGTTTTTACCTGGTTATCCTGGGATCTAAAATTATTTTTGAATGAAAAATAAACTGGTAGTTATTTTCTAATCCAAATTTTAAAAAAATAATTGGTTTTAATTGGTTGGAATGGGTTTGGCGCTATGAATTACCAATTCATTCCATGTGCATTTCTATTGGATTTAGCCAATAAAGACAAGCACAGGCATGGATTGGTATTTTCCAATTCAAGCCGCTGACTTCATTGGAAATTACCAATAGGAATTCAACTGGAATGAATTGGTGATTCATAGCGCCAAAACACATTTTAAACCAATTCAAACTAATTCAAACCAATTACTTATTTTTTATTGGATTCTATTGGTATTTTCCAGTTTAAGCCGCTGACTTCATTGGAAATTACCAATAGGAATTCAACTGGAATGAATTGGTGATTCATAGCGCCAAAACACATTTCAAACCAATTCAAACCAATTACTTATTTTTTATTGGATTCTATTGGTCATTTACAATAGGGTGGTTTGAAAGAAAAATTTTGAGAAAAATACACGAACCGGTTGGAATAAGAGAAGGAGGGTCACAAAGACTAATGCATCATGTAATAGATAGTAAACACTTGAATAGATTATGAAATAGTGTGGAAGTAATCCAAAACGTTCTAGAGAATTTTCGGATAGGCTTGTATGTCAAGTAAGTCAAGAAACCAACGGGGAGAAATTCGAACACTTAATCCTATACACGGTGGTCAAAACTTAAGTATAGGACGAACAAAAATGCCAACCAAAACTGATAGCATATTTTGATTATAGACCCTTTTGGTAACACTAACATGTATGTATGTATCAAAATCCCAGCTGATCCTTTTTTAAAGTTTTGCAAACTTTTTTGTTTTTATATTTCTATATATTATTTTGCAATTATTGTACTAAAACTACCTGTACAATTTTAATAAAATTAAGCAAAATAATAAACTTTGTATCATTTAAATTACTTTACTCCCCAGTATTAATTTATTCACCTATTATTTTTTACCACTCAAAACAAAACATAACAAAAAAGATTTATATTTTAAATATTTTTTATAACAAAAAATACTGGAAGTTTGTGCATGAAATAATTACAACTTGCAAATTTTGTAAAACAATAATTAAGGTGGTTATGAAAAAAATTGCTATTAGTTATAACGCAAGTGACATTTTGCTTTAGTTTAGTTTATTTAATGTATACTTTATAAAGTTAAAAATAGTATTTTAAAATGAAAATTAAACCGAAATTCAGGTTAAGCCATGAAGAAAATCGAAAGAAGGTATGTGCTGGCTGTGGAGACAAAATTGTTTTTGGTAATCGAAAAATTCAGATTTTAGGGTTTCTGAGAAAATATAAAAATTACTGCAAACTTTTTCAAAAGAACACTTTAACTTAAGTGATTCAAAATTACCTACTTCAATATGGTAAAAACGGTATTTTTGCATAGCCACAATTGCCAAATTTTCAAAATTTAGAAATTGCCAGAGAATTTCTCGGCAGCCAAGAATGTATGTGCTTTATCTGCAAAATGGCAAGATATAAAGGGCATACAAAATTATTAAGGGAAGAGGACGGACGAACGAAATAAAGTTTTGATATGCTCTTCCTTTCTAGGGGATATCGCTAGATGTAAGAAGCATGTTTGTACAGAGACTGAAGAATTTAAAAATACTGTTTCCATGTTAAAAATAATTCCATGTAAAACCCAAGAAAAAGTTTTACTGAAAATTTAAGGCAAGCAGTAATCGATTTTGCTTCAAAGAATCTTTACCCAGATAGCACAAGAGGTACCCAGGACGTCCATTTCGGGTCCCACATAGGTCCGAACGTCCTAGACCTATATCGGAAGTTTTGGGTACGTCCAGTCTCTTACTTATTTGGGAAAATTATAGCGGATATACTGGGTACGTCCCAAGGACGTAATTGAAGCATTGTTTTTCCAAAGGGTCTAAGTGCCAAGTTGGTTAAATAATATATTATCATTTAAAAATAGTTTGTGTCATGCAGAATGACTTAATAGTATATTCTGTAACAAGTTTGGAATACAGCATATCCGCCCGAATGAAGAGTTTGTCACACGAGCCGAAGGCGAGTTTGACGGTTTCAGGAGAGCGGAATATGCAATTCCAAACGTGTTTCAGACATTTCAACATTTACATGTGCAAAATATTTGTTTTTCATTGATAACTCACAATTTTATTTTTGTAACTTAGACCCCCCAGACAGCATCCAATTCAGAAAGATTTCTGTACGAAGTCTGTTGAAAAACATCTTACTGAGGTCAAAATATGACATCTTAGAGAAATCATTTTTAGGAGCTCAAGATTAAGAGTTCTTGATGAATTCATAAATAAGAAGTAAATTTTTTAACATCTTAAAGTATCTTTTTTTCTGGCCTCTTATTGGAATCAAAATTAGAAGCTACTAAGGGTAGGTATCATAAATAAGACTTTAGTTATATGATATCTTACAGTATTCTCTTTTCTTACTTCTTACTGAAATTATATTATTAACTCTTTAAGACGTCAACATGGAAACGTCACATTTATGACATTTTAATGCGATTCTTTCTTCTCACCGCTGTAACTGCTTGTGTTTGATATAAGAAGCGGCGAAGTAGAATTTAGAGCGTGCTCCATACCCTAGACCTAGGTCTAGGCTCCATACCAAACGGTCTTAGACCTAGGTAAACGGCTACCCGATACTGACGAACTCCAAAAGAGGGAAACAGGCCGTCTATCGGTGCCGGTGAAGAGCACGCTTAAATTTAAACAAAAGTGAGACGAAGTAATCGCAATTCCTAAAATAAGCGAGTACGAGCAAATTATTAAAATGATTTTAATAAAATCCAAAAAAAAAAAATTAATAAAATAAACTTGACATGTCAAAATAAGCAACGATCCATTAGTCCCCAATAAAGCATTTCAGGATGGCCAGAGGATGTCTTACTTAGGACGTTCTGGGGACCGACGATTTGGTAACATCGGATGTCCCTGGAACGTCCTGGGGAAGGTTCAGGACCTGATTCGGACGTACTCGGAACTTACTAATGTCTGATACAAGATATACTCAGGACGTTTTTAGTACTTCTTTGTGCTATCTGGGTAGTTATTTATTAGTTTTGTATTAGGTACCTTAAAACAATAAATAAGATATTGCAAACTGTATTTTACATTATTTTGTATTTATAATGTAATTTATCCATATTTCAGTCATGTACCTATCTGCCAAATTTTTAAAAACATTTGATAATGGTACTAGAGTTCGATAAAATTATCGAAATGGCATAAACAATTTTAAAATACTAGGAAATATGCAAAACTTTAATAAAGGATCAGCTGGGATTTTGATAAATACATTTTTGTGTTACCAAAAGAGTCTATAATCAGATTATGCTATCAGTTTTGGTTGGCATTTTTGTTCGTCCTATACTTTAGTTTTGACCACCGTGTATAAAAGCATTTTCAAAATAATTTTCATGAAGATAAAAAATATTAAAAGAGTTAAAAGAGCTCTCCATCAAGTATTAAATTACATGGATATGTCGATAAAAGCTAAGATAATTATCTTATAACTATGGTTATAACCAAAGTAAAAATATAGATCAAGGCTTTTGTGAGCGAAAAATAAAATAAAAATCTTTGCAAGGATTTCATTAAGGATTCCTTGAAACAATTCTGAGCAACTTTTAAATTTTAAATTGTTATTACGTTAAGTACCTTATTTAAAGTTTTGATATACCTACGTGAGACGATGTAGTAAACAATCTCAAAACAACGCAGATGGTATTGATTTGTTTTTCATAGGGAGAAGTAAAAAGAAGTGTAATCTCTTAGAATTCCAATTTCACTTATGATAAATACAAGACACTTACGAAGAATTTATTTATTAATATTAAAGTAAAAAATTTTGCTAATGTTTTCGGAGAATAATTTATGGAAATTGATGGCATTTATATTTAAATGTAATTAATAATATGAAGGGTGAATGTTAACCCTTAACCTTCTTGCAGAATTATTAAAATTAAACTATGAGGAAATTCTATTTTTTCAATACCTTTAATTAGAAATGGCTGTGTAGTCAAAACTAACTGATTTTTCAATCTGAAATTTAGTATGGTCCTAAAAAACGCCATCTGTCTTTAAAAACGGGTACCTTTTGACCCACCTTCGTAAATATCAAGCAAAAAGTGTCAGATCGATAATTTCGTATGAAATCAACCAAAAAAAGGTAAATTTTGTTTTCAATATCTCCGATTTTGATGATTATAAATAAATAAATTCGAAACCCAAATTTTTAATTTTTTTAAACTGTAGTTTTCTTTTATGGATTTTTCAAAATCAAGAGCTTTACCAATTTTGCCTCTGCAGGAACTTAAAGCAACAGATATATCTCAGGAACTGCTTATCACAGAGCATTGTAATAGCTTGTTTTAAAGGTCTTTTGAAGCCCTTTCAGATAAGTCATTACTTGATATACTTTTTCTTAAAAAAATAAGAATAAAAAAAAATTTTTTTTTTGAAAATTTCTCAAAAACACCTTTTTGTAATTTTTTCAAAAAAAAATTATTCTTTTTATTTATGTTTAAGTATGATAATTACCAGATTTCAGAATGGAGAAATGAAAAGTTCAGTTTAAAAAAATTAAAACCTAAAAAATATTAAAAAAAAAACTTTATAGGGAATTTTAGTATTTGCACCAAAAAGTTCAATCTTTTAGCAAAATTTATTTATGCTATGATTGAGACACCTCTTTTCTCTTGTTTACAAAAATTCCAGCCTTTTTTGCCACCTCTAGGTGGCTGCATATAACAAATATGTACAATGCAAAATATTCACGTATATCGGCGGTTTAAAAAAAAGGCATTGGAAATGTTTTACAGCCTTGTAACAATGTACTAAAGTGGTGATTAGTAACTAAACTTTTTTCTCCCAGCTTGGAACAACATATTCAAGACCCTGTTAAATGTGCCCAAATAACGAATTCTGAATTAAGGTTTATTAACTATAAGAGCTCTTGGTGGTTATCTTTTACAATTGGAAAGAATATAGAGTCTAAAGTTAGTTTTTACATCCGAATGGATCAGCATATTATTTTTATTAAGCAAAACCTAAAGTTAAAATATTGAGAAAACTTCAGCCTATTACTGGTACAGATTAAACCAAAAAAGAAATGTTGAAAACTTGGAAAAATTCTTAAAAAAAAATAAAAAAATAACTAATTTCCATTTGTTATTTAGTTTCAAAAATTATTAAAAAAAAACAAAAAAGTTATTTGGATAGCTTATATATTATTTGGTTGTAGCTTTAAGTTAATATAATCATATGTTCTATTTCTATAAAACCTTTATTTTTGCTATATAAGGATATTAAAAAAAAGATTATTACAATTAATCCACCATTCCTTTATTCTAAATTTTGGTAAATAAGTAGCCAATGGTGTTTTTGAGAAATTAAAAAAAAATTTAAGACAAAGTATATCATGTGATACATCATCTGAAAGCAGTTCCTGAGATATACCTGCGTTTTTAAGAGCCTGCATTTGCCTCAAATTGGTAAATTTCTTGATTTTCGAAAATCCATAAAAGAAAAACTACTGTTCAAAAAAAATTAAAATTTTGGTTTTTCGAGTTTTTCAATGGGAAGAGCAACTGTACCAAAATGTATCAAAATCGAAGATGGTGCCTTCGAAACCGTTGGTTGATTTGATAGGAAATTACCCAGATGTAACTTTGCGTTTGACTCATCTATCATCCCAAGAAACCTCTTTTAAAATTACACCTTAAAGCTATTTGTACTTTTATCATATACGAGGTGTGTTCAGAAAATATCGGGAATTTTCGTTTTTTAAAACAAATATTTATTTATTCGTCTACATTAATGTTGTCGCCTTCAAAATAGTCCCCATTGAATATTATGCACATGTGCCAGCACTTCTTCCAATACTCGAAACACTTCTAAAACTCGATCTTTGGGATAGCCTTTAGTTCTTTTAGCGATGCGCTTTTAATGTCATCTATGCTTGCAAAACGACGGCCCTTTAAGCTTCTCTTTATTTTTTGGAATAGGAAAAAGTCAGACATGTCTGGCAAATATGGAGGCTGGGGCATCATTACAGTATTGTTTTTGGCCAAAAATTTTGTTAAAAAATTAACAATTTTAGAACAAATTTTGCTGCCACGCGTTTCATATCCAAAACATTTGGAAAAATTTCATGGGATGAGCCAATTGATATACCAACATCATCAGCGACTTCTCTGATGGTTTATAACCATTTCTTCCACTTTTTCCATGTTTTTATCGGTTGTTAATGTGCTTGTGCGTTAGGGGCGTTCGTCATCTTCAACGTCTTCACGGCCATCTTGGAAACTCTTATACCACTTGTAAACTCTTGTTTTACTTATAGCAGACTCAATATAGGCCTTTGTTAACATTTCACAGAATTTATTTCATTTTTTAAGCAAAATTGGATAAAAATTCTTTGATCCATTTCTTTTAACGAACGAAAATCGCCGAGCTGATAAAACACGTCTAACCTTAGCGGCTGCCACAGACAAAGTAAACAATGAAAACAGCTAATGTTTTTATCATACTTCGGGGGCATGTATACCAATATAATAAGGAAAATTTTATGACAACCGGACCCTCCGAAGCCGCGAAATTTAACAATTCCCGTTATTTTCTGAACACACCTCGTATAGGTTAAAGCCAAAAGACACGTGTGTTAATTGGGTCATCAACCTCGAGACTTACCGCATGGGGACTGTGATCGTACAGCTTCTTCAGCGAAGGATGGAGCTCGGCGCCTTTCCCGATATGCAGAATGGAGGCCTGACTGGGTCTCGAGCTCCTGTGCCTCCTGAAATTGTCGGAGCGGTGGCTTTCGAGCTGGTTGAGGTCCGGTTCGCAGAGGGTCTCGTCCTCGGGCTGGGTGGAGACGCGGCGGTTCTTGTTGAAACCGCCGCCGTCGGCCTTGTCGCGGTGATGGTGGTGATGGTGGCGCTTCGACGGGTCGTCCGGCAACGAGAACTTGCGGAATTTCGGGTGGTGCGTGTGGTGATGACGCCTCGAATAATAATAACAATAATAATATAGGGCCTGTCCATCTCAAATCGTAGGTAGGTCGTTATTTTTCAACGATTTTTTTTTTGACAGTTTCTCTACAGAAATCGATGAGACCCGTATTTTTTCTTTTTGCTTGAATTTGTTTTGTTTACCCGTAGGAAATTTTTGAAAAATGGACAGAAACATCGATTTTTCTCTTTTTACGACTTACATTTTTTCTTGAAAATGCGTTAACTTGGTAGACCAGTGCAGAAGCCTTTAAAAATTGTAAAAAGAGAAAAAAAATAACAGTAGGATGAAACCCATTGGAAAAGGAGGGGAATATAATAAAAATTAAAGGAAAAATAAATTACGGGCGATCTGACTTCGGTAAGTGGGAGGGGGGGGGTTTAAGGGTAAAAAATGGTTTATCTCGATTTCCGGCAAAACTACAAGTCCTATGGAAAAAAGTTAAATGTCAAAGTTGTAGGTAATAAAAAGATCTACAACTTTTGTATTTCCAATTTTTTCACATAACCTCAAAATTTATGTGAAAAATTCAAAAAACCAAGTTTTTGGTTTTTTATTTTTATCTTTTTCAAAAAAAAAATTTTTTCCACGAAATTTGGTGAAAACTTACCTTTTTATGTCCCAAATACACTGTAATTTATTTGATTTGAAATATTTATTATTTCGCCTTATTTTGACTTAATATCAAAAAAGCACCCTAATTTTCAATCGAAAATTCTCGCGTCAAAATATCAGCTTTTTTCAAAAAGTCGGTGTGCTTTTTGTTCAATGAACTCTCTACTTTCTGATGGTGTAAAAAGAAATATACATTACTATGGTAAATGTTCTCAGAAAATAGAAAAAATATTATAATGAATAACGTAATCAGAATGAAGTATCTAAATTCAAAAGTATGATTTACATGTATTTTTATATTTTATGAGATTTTCTGACATAAATGTTATTAGAATTTAATAAATAAACTTTTTAACTAAAAAAAATTGCAACAATCACATTTTTTTGATGAAATTGTACATAATGATTAAAATAAATTTTCGAATTCGAGTTTCTTCGTTATTCGAATAACGATCATTATAATATTTTTTGCATTTTCTGAGAACATTTACCATAGTAATGTATATATTTTTTACACCATCAGAAAGTAGAGATTTCAACGAACAAAAAGCACACCGACTTTTTAAAAAAAGCTGATATTTTGACGCGAGAATTTTCGATTGAAAATTAGGGTGCTTTTTTGATATTAAGTCAAAATAAGGCGAAATAATAAATATTTCAAATCAAATAAATTACAGTGTATTTGGGACATAAAAAGGTAAGTTTTCACCAAATTTCGTGGAAAAAAATTTTTTTTTGAAAAAGATAAAAATAAAAAAAAAACTTGGTTTTTTGAATTTTTCACATAAATTTTGAGGTTATGTAAAAAAATTGTAATTACAAAAGTTGTAGATCCTTTTATTACCTACAACTTTGCCATTTAACTTTTTTCCATAGGACTTGTAGTTTTGCCGGAAATCGAGATAAACCATTTTTTACCCTTAAACCCCCCCCCTCCCACTTCCCGAAGTCAGATCGCCCGTAATTTATTTTTCCTTTCATTTTTATTATATTCTTTTCCTTTTCCAATGGGTTTCATCCTACTGTTATTTTTTTTGGTTTTATTATTCATATTTCGCTTTTTTAATTATTGCCATAGATTCCCTACAATTGCCACACTATGGGGCGGTTAGATATAACATTTTATAATCGTTTCAAAATATTTACTAATGGATATTTTCCTATTTATATATTGTATTTTTTTTGTGAATAAACTTATTATTATTTGAATGATTTATTTAGTAGTTTTAAAACCAAAAAATTTTGAGCAATTACTTATGTACATCCCTTTGATTCTAAACATCTCAATTATTATTTATATTTTATTTTATAAAAAGTTTAAGCGTATGTTTTCAAAGTAAAATAAAATGTTAATATTTACTTACAAGCAAAACAAAATAACGAACTGTCATATCTACTACTTCTTTTTAACACAAAGGTTTCAAAGCCTTCTTATAGTATATTATGGCGCGCAGTGCAGGGCTCTCACACTTTCTGCCCGTGTAGTGTATACTATTTTTCTTACTACCTCGACTGAAAATTCACTATTCACTATTAGTCTTAAATAATATTCAATATTAACAATTAGTTAATTAACTAATTGAAAACAAATTTTGAGGTTATATTAGTGTCGTAATCAGAGTTGCATATGTTAAGTACTAGTGCACACGACTAAAAAATTTTTACTCCCGCTATTATAGAGGGTGCGCTTATAGCTTGACCAATGCACCAAACGTAAACTTTCTGCCGAGGAATCGGGGACGAAACAACGTATTTTCAGTCGAGGTAGTAAGAAAATTTATTTACTTCTGTACACACTTTAAAACCTAATACACATTCAAATTAAATTAAGACTTTGAATACTATATTTAAAAAAATGGCATTAATATTTGGGATCAAATTTATGGTTTATGACCAACCTCTTTTATTAAAAAAAAATAGTTTTGGCATAAAGTATGGTTTTTCAATTTTTTAAAGGTCCTAAAAACCAGCATTGCAAAATAAAATTGTATTTTTTCCAGACTACTTGGCCCAACATGAAGCAGAAAAGCTAATTCAATTCAACGCACTCTAGATAAAGAAATAAAATTTAATTAAAAATGATTTGACCTGTCAAAAATTGACAAATGACATATGTGTGTATTTTGAATTTAATTTTGAATCGAAATATCGTCGCCTTCAGGAGAAAATCACGTAACTCCACATTTTCATTAAAATGGTATTTTAGTGGTATCTGTTAGATAAAATTGTAACTAATTTATATGCAAGTTACAAAAGTCCTAAAATAAACCGTTAATTTTAAATTTAGAAAAAGAAATATACGTATCTCCAATCGTGGAGGAGCGTCCAGGGAATAATGCCTAACTCCAGTATACATGTATTTGCAAATCAGTGCCATTGACAAGTATAAGTTATTGCCTAGTTATTTTTTCTGTTTACGCGTAAAACCTTTGTTTTCCGAAGTGAAATTTGTTAAAAGTAAGAATAAAAGATTGTATAGTGTGTAAAGTTATGGTACCATGAATAATTTAAGGTTACTTTTATTAACATAAAGTACATATTGGAGATACGTAATTTTCCATTAAACAATTTTTTGGCGGTAATGTGGAGATACACCAATACACCTTTAATATGTTTTTCTTTCCTCCTGTAAAATTTTACTACATGGAGTTAAGCAATTTTCTCATGAAGGCGACGATATGTAAAAATGCATTAAAAAATAAAAAGTCACAAAAATATGTTAAATATGTCAAAAAGTTCAAAATTACACTTTATAAAGGTCACCTCAGTTTTATGACCCTAGATAATAAACCAAATTTTTGCGATGAACCACGAATTTACTGGAAAATGACATTTTCATTAAAAAAATAATAATTCTGAAATGACGAATTTAGCCAACTCGGGACTTTTGGTGAAAGTTGTTCATATACAAACGAAAAAAATATGAATGAAAAAAGTGTCATAATTTTGACCTCATTTTTTCCCACTTTTTTAGATAAAAATATTTAAAAAAAATTAAGTAAATTCACTAAATTTTTTATATTTTTTTGTATGTAGCAAACATTTACCTATAATTTAAAAAAAATTGTAACGATCGAAACGATTTTGGCCGTTATCGTATTTTCAAGAAAAAATGTCACTCGTAAAAAGAGAACAATCGACTATGTTTCAAAACAAATTTAATGGTAGAGAAAAATTTCATTGAAAAATAACGACCTACCCCTTTTTAACTGGTCGATTTAAGATGGAAAAGGTACAGAAGATAATATCTTTCTTCCTAACTTTGTCCATGCAAAGCTTTTAAAGGATTACTGAAAAAGGATTTATTTTGACCCAAAAGGTAAGATGCTTAAAACAGTAAATTCGGGTAAAAAGTGTGTGAAATTGCTTTAAAATTAAAATTTGTATTTTGGGTCATCTCAAAGTATGTCAGGTAAATACCTTAGATAACTTGCTCCCCTATATTTTAAATGTTACCTATATTACGTCAGTAACTACGTTAGAACTTTATTGTAGGCGTAATGAAAACAGTAGGTATAATGTAACATGGAATCATAAACAAGTGAAAATATTAACAATAATTCCATGTGACATGTTATTAACTAAAAATATCGTATTTCTTGAAAAATAAAGGTGTTTTTATTTAATGAATCTCATGTTTATCTCAATTGACATATACAATTAGGGTGGTAGAAAAAGGTTTAAAATATTTTGTCTTCACAAGTACATTTTTTTTTAATTCGAATAACATTTAGAGGTTGCCCAAAATTAAAAGTATACAGTGTGGAATAAAATTGGTTATTCAATGAGAAAATATTTTCTTCTGTTTCCTAATTCATCTAAATTAGCAGTTTGTGTTTTAAACACCCTGTTTTTAGATGCCACCTTAGGAAAAATTCTAGAGGTGTTGGATATGGTAATCTTGCTATATGTGATCTTGCGTGTGGGTCTACCCAAAATAATTTTAACCAATTTAATAAAGGTTTGAGTTTTTTTTTATTTCACACTTGAGTTATTCTAATAAACATGTAAAATAATTTATTTTATGTTTAAAACATATTTTAATTAAATATTCTAACCTGCGTAACATTATTTTATTTAAGAAAACACTTAAAAAAGCATAGGGTAGTCAAATTCAACTTTGTCTCGCTCGAGAAATCATCAACCTATAACAACTACAGTTCAATTTTTTTTTTATCTGGAATCGTGTTTTTTTGTTAGATTGGTGGCTTATGCCAGTTTTACTTAGTATTTTTAGTATTTAAAAATGGTACTTCTGCTAAAGAATTTAATTAAATACTTTGACACTGTCAAATTGACAATAATATTTACGAAAAAATCTTATTAAGCCGAATTTCTATTTTCATTATTTAATTTTTTACAGAGCTTTAAATTTAA